ACGGTTTATCACTAACATAATTTCAGATAATTTTCTAGTAAAAACTACATACTTTTAAAAATGCCAATTGAAGACTCACAAGTGCGTATGTACAGGAGAAAAATCATTAATTTAATGTCAGAGTGATGATGGAAGAGTTGGCCTAGAAACAGAACGGACCAGCACCCTTTATTTACTCCGATCCACCACTGCCTTATCGTTTCTTCTTCCATTTCCTATTCTCTTTTCTTCACCTGACTGTATATATATAATATATATAAATAGGAAATATACACATTCGGACTGTATAAAAGTATACTGTGTATATATACAGGTAGAAATCAGAAGGAGAGAAAACATGGTGGGCGTATTTTCCAGATTTTCCTCAAGTAATAAGGCTGCCCATAGAAGAAGTCGAAGTGCCATTATTGTAAGCTTTTCTTCATTCTACGTTTATCTCCTATTCAATTTTTCATAACTGTAGTTCTATACTAACAAAAAAATCCGGAAAAACATTTTTTATAATTTTAATTTAATATCTTGATCCGAAATGTTCAAATTAGGATTACGATATTAGTTTTGGAGTCATATTTTAATTTTACATATAATGATTTCTTAATTGCTTAAGCATGTTTTATTTTTAAAACATAACTTGGAGAACAAACAAAAAGAACTAGAACAATAAACAAAAACAACTTTTTCCAAAATAGGAATGAGTTACGGAGTATTCTAAAAATGTGTTATCTTGTAGGAAGTAATTAAAGCTAAGAAGAAATTAAAGATACCTGTATCCAAATTATACTATGCATATTGATTAGAAATATGATTCAATACAAAATATAAAATATGGTCAACATATGCTGTGTAAATATTGTAAAAATTAAATTGTTACAGTTAATAAAGAATGAAAGGACATATTCTTCTTATTTAGGAAATTACTCATAACAAGAGGAAAATAAAAAAATCAAGTTAAGAAGTTACTCATAATTGTGTTTTGGTCATACAACGGGTTTTATATCTGATCATAATAAAGGAGTTATTATAAAAAAATGAAAACAATGCGTTCAAAAAATACTTCTCCGTATTACGCAGTATTTGTATGAAAGAAGGGGTCGTATTTTAAGAATAAAAATGCCACATTTCTTTTTAATATGTATTGAATTTTAACTGATAGATTTGTCTTAAATGATGATTCCACCTGAAATGAAATATATTGAAAAAGTAATTCCTCTAAATAGGATTAAATGTTAATTGAAATGCACTAGTAAGATTGTATGTTTATAATTATCTTAGTATAACTTATTTGATCTTATTAAACGTAAACTTTCTCAATTAAGAGTGAATTAATCTAATTTTATTTTAGAAAGACATCGAGAGTGGTCTTAGTTTTGCACCTTCATTACCCCAATGCAGCAAAGACTGTCACCTACGGTGGGGATAAGGTGATCAGATGTACACAAGTATTAAAGCACGAAATTATTTTCGGATAAATCTACATTTTATCCATATTTAAGGAATTTTATCATAATAGAAACTGTCATATAAGATTTTGAACAATTAATTTGCTGAACATCCAATCACATAGCTCTAATCTAAGATGCACAATCTTAGATCTCTTTCATTTTTAGTTATTTATTTATTCAATTTAATAGTCCGATATTTTGTGCTCAGTAGAAATGACTTTTGATTTTAACCAATAAATCAATATATTGCCTTATGGGGGCGGTCTCGTATATGTGCAGGATGAAAGGACTGAACTGCCTCCAAGGTCGTCTGAGGTAGCCGCATGTGGTGGTTCTGCTGTGGCGGCAGGGGTTGACGTGGTGGCGACCGCCACCACACACAGCATTGAACGTGCGGCGGTTGAGTTTAAGCCGATTGAGCATCCAATCGAGCCTCTCATCAATGAAGCACCGGTTCAGTGCCCTTTTCCAGAACTACCAGTAATATTGTATGTAAGTTTACTGATCAAAAGCTTGAGCCTATTTGATAATATACCCAAATCAGCTATAATTGACTGATTCTGTTGAGATTCAAGAAATTCTTGATGAATTAGCTGATTCGGTTGATTTATGAAAAACGTTATATTTAACATATATTTTAGGGATAAGGGTCAGATAGGGCCTCGAACTTGAAAAAAAATGTCAAATAAGGCCATATTTAGGATGCTCTGTCCGGCCGACGCCATTTGGGGCGGTTCCCGATGGAATTTTTTGATGAAATTTTTTGAGAATCTTATTCATTAAGTCTAGTTTACTCATATCAAATTTGAACTAAAATTTCAATCGGGAAGGCATTCAAATGAATTCTTGAAGATAACTGTGCAGTTAAAAGCGCAGTTATCTTCAAGAATTCATTTGAATGTCTTCCCGATTGAATTGTTAGTTCAAATTTGATATGAGTAAACTAGACTTAATGAATAAGATTCTCAAAAAAATCCATCAAAAAATTCCACCGGGAACCGCCCCAAATGGCGTCAACCGGACATAGCATCCTAAATATGGCCTTATTTGACATTTTTTCCCAAGTTCGAGGCCCTATCTGACCCTTATCCCTATATTTTATTAATAAAATAAAGACCGTTAAGTAACTTCAACCAATACAGCAAGAAAAGTAATCTCAATCATATTTTTTCTTATTATTACATAATTCAACGCGTTAAATCGAAAATTATGTAGTGAAAAAGTTGATTGATAAACCGATAAATAGGGTCACCAAACGGACTCTTAATTTTTGCCTGAAAATTACTTCTTAAATAACAATTTGGATGTCCCAAAAGAAATTTCTCATTTTCCTAAATGGAAAGTTATCTTACATTAAAACAGTGCCAAACAGTGCAAAACAGTGTCAAGCAGTGTCGAAACAGTGCCAAACAGTCTCGAAACAGTGTCAAACTGTAAAATTTACCCCTCAGTAACTTTATTTCCTTAAATGTGTGAAAGTCAACCCGAGAACTTTTTCCCGGGACCAAGAAAACATGTCAATTTGACTTTTAAAAATATTGAAACTATATGCAAAAACAGCAAAATGGTGTTAAGAGGTTTATAATGCTGATAAGTCGAAAATAAACCAACCTAGCAAAATGGTGCTTCTTCAATTCATATTGTGAATGATTATTATCTCTTGCATTGCCAAACTGGAATTGATTTTTTTTCGCAGGAGGGAAAGATAAGGAAGGAGCACATTCACGGAGGAGGAAGGATTGATTTTCCGCCTACAAAAGAAGGGGATGGAGTCATTTTAGAGCCACAGATTAGTGCCGCAAAATGTAAACCCCATGCTAACCGACGCCAGATTCTGCCATCCTTGAGTGCACCAGAACATATTATCCTAAGTTTGCTTGATGAATCTCTCGTTTAACTGTCCTCTGCATTTTTAATTTCATTTTATTAATCTTTTTTACTTATTTATAATTTGATGTATAAATGTAAAGATGAAAAATTATATGCAGATATCTTATTTTAGTAAGAGGCACATATATTGTTTTATCAGGGGAAATCGAATTTTCGATCATTCAAATAGTACACATATTGAAATATAAGCTTGTGTTTTTAAGCGGGTAAATGTCACTACTCAATGACATTCCAAGTTTCGTAAACGTTGTCCTCCCCATATTTAAATGCTACCTCTCAAATGATGACATTTGCAACAATTGAAGTAGTTGAGACTTCACATTTACAAATTTGGAAACATGGAAACTACATTTCAATATTAGTACTATTTGAGGGATTGAAAGTGTGATTTCCTCTTTTACTAACCATTGTATTTGAGGGATTGAAAGTGTTGTTTTCTACATAGCTACACCTAGATAAGTGTGTGCTTCTTTTTCTTCCTACTTAGGCTTTGTTCATTCAGCTTTTTTAATCCAAGTTACTCAACCTTTTAATGTGATCACAATTTTTCAAAGAAATGACATGTGTTGTGTTAAACATCGGATTCCTTTAGCCTTAAAATTATCAAAACCAAACTCAATTGAGTTGATTTAAGAAACAACAATAATCATATTAAAAATATATGCTATGATGTACTACCCAGTCTCGCTGTCTCGACTTTTACTTTTCATTGACTTATATCTTGAGAAATACTGCGTCATTTTGATGAATATATTACATGATGAGGTCATCAATGATAACACTCATGTAATAACACTCATGTCATTTGAAAGTGCTAATTATTTTCTAAAATAGAAATGATAAGTTTTAACTGAGACATTCAAAGGAACTAAGTAAGAGGGAGTAATAATTACTATTTACTATACATTGAATTTCCCCAACTTTTTATTGTATAGTTACCAAATTATGTAACTAGATACTCACAAATATCTTAAGAACATATACAATATTGGGTTTGAAAAAAAACTTCGTAAGTTAAAAACTTATTGCTGCATCACCTGCATGAACTCCCAATCTCCTTTGCCTCTACCAATTCAAAAGCATACTAGTTGCTCCACTCCGGCCGGAAAAGAACATGATTTGAGCTGAACTCTGTTGTGCTATTAAAGAATGAATCCTCATCTCCCCCACCATAAACATTCTCTTCCTTTTCCTCGTCCCACTTCAGAACCTCCCTTATATACTTGAACACCTCATCGACAGTTGCCCTCTCCCTCGCTTGAGATTGCCACACGAACAGCTTCCTCCCCGTGAGGAAGAATACACATCTTTGAATTTCTTTGCAACATAGTAGTAGGCTTGGGTTGCCAACGTTTGGTTGTTATGAGTATACGCCGCATTGAAATCTGAGAACCAAATGCAGCTACCCAAACCCACTCTCTTAACCTTCTCCTCAAACAGATCATACTTGTTGAGGACCAAGACGAAGGGCGTGTCTTTGAAAGAGGGATGCTTTATCATCATTTCAAAGAGCTCTTTGCTTTGGACCATCTTGTTACGGAGTTGGACCTCACTGCCATTTTTGTCCAGTGGGGTGCAACACGTCTGATCGTAATCGCTCAGGGCGATGCAGAAGACTACCACATCTACCTCTTCAAACATCTCGACCCACTTGCACCCTTCAGTCATACCCCTCCCATTGACCCTTATTAGTTGATACCTTGTGAGAGGCAGGGGAGGGCCTTCTGAATTGTTCTCGGCTGCATAGGAGGTTCCAGACATTGGGCTATGGTCATACATGGAGAACTCTGTGAAGGACAAACCGTTCGACCCTTCTGCGTAAAGTATGTCTTGCTCTGATGGTTCATACTCGGTGCTTGATACCTCTACTGCCTTTGCGTTCATAGAAGAGAGCAGAAAAAGTCATGGCTATGTTCATATTTAAGACTAACAAAACATATTTTAATTAATATGACCATCATTGGATTTTTCTTGAAATTATGACCATACTTTCGTTTTTAGAAATATAGTCCCACATTATTATTGGCAATCTGCCCATTTCAAAATTTAAAATTGGCCAATTTTATCTTTATAATCTTCTAAACCAATGATGTTAGCATCATACTATCATGGTAGGACTACATAAACCATTAAAGGAAAAAAAGATTTTCCTTATCACAGAACTTACTCTACACCTACCTGTCGATGTGTGTGCACTTGAAAATTAGTCCCTCCGTCCCAAAAAAAAACAAAATAGGTCAATCCGTCAAGGTCCAAATGTTAGTTTTTGTGAGGGAGAAATCTAAAAAATAATACAGAGTACCTTTTCGTTTTAACTAACTAATGTTATCATGTTTGATTTTATTGTAACTCTTTTTAGAAAATTACACATTTACATGTAAAAATGTAAAATTAGTTTTGCTTGATGAAATAAGACAATTTTTAGATAACAAAAAAGAACTTTTAAAAACATATTCTTTTTCAATATATCGAGTACATCAACTTATAGAAAGATGCAAAATAGTAGTTGTTTCAAGGGAAAATTCCCGAAATAGGACTAAAACAGTTTGGAAATTTCAAAATAGGGCTGTCATGTTTTTTATTCCCAAAAATAGGAGTAATTACTGCCAAGTTCGGAAAATACTGTCATGTTTGAAGTCTGATTGCCAAAACATGGCAGTAATTAGTCCTATTTTGGGAATAAAATCATGACAATCCTATTTTGGAATTTTCAAACTTTTTTAGTCCTATTCGGGTAATATTCTCTTGTTTCAATCAGTGTACTTTAAAACCTTTATTTAAACAGTCATAAATTTTGGTTTAATCAAACTATGATATTGGCTAAACTAATTTATCAATAGTAAGAATTTTTCTATAACACAAAACCTTGCTAAAGAAGAAGGTTAGAGCAAACCTTGCTTAAGAAGTAACCCGCCACATCTGGAAGGAAGAGAAGTTCATCTTTTCTCTTGTATGTTGCCTGCACAGCAGGATAATTCCACACCTCCTCAACTAGAGGAGCATATTCTCGAGCTGCTGCTGGGAAAAATGCATCTAAATCTCCGGTGGATATTATATCTAATAGCCAATCAGAAAATTGCTTCAACATTGGGTTCAGCGAATACACACACTGATTACCTTCACCACCTATATTCAAAATAGAAACCTTAAAAATAAAGATCACCCTGTAATTCATTATCAGAACTAATAAACTTAACATTGATTTCCCTAATTCATTATGAAAGTTTGTTCAGTGTAAATATGTCAGCCTCTGCACAACGTTAAGAACCTGTTTGCTGAAGTTGCTCAAATTGGTGAGTTATGAAACAAATATATGTAACTAATAAATAAATAAATAAATACATTTTATGAACAGGACTAAAATGGTCATCTTCACATGATAGAATTCATGATTGGATTGGGGGGCATTAGGCCCTTACACGCAAAACAATTTAGCATGCGCGCTCATGTAAATTAGTGCTTGGTAAAAATCTCACCGGAAACAAGTCACTACTAAATAGCCACTTAATTACAAATAAGTCTAAGAGTAGCTCAAGGAAAGAACCTTGTGCCTTCATATCGAACAAGGCCTCCTCCTCAAATTGCTCCCGTCCATCAAGTAGAATGCTTAGATACTTGTAGATGTTGCATTGAATCATAAGCTTAATGTCTAGTAGCTCTTCTACAGTGAATTTGTTCCCATACAATACTTTGGCCTGATAAGTTATTAGATACCATAATAAAAAAATGTGCATGAGCAATGAGTCAATCATGTGCCAGAAGTTTCTGTTTTAGATAATAATAAAAACAGCACTCTTGAATTACCTAAAATCAGTTGTGTAAAATGGGAGTGAAGAGAAAGTAAGGTTGTAAACACAAGATTAAAAGACTACTTACGGTCTGTTTGGATGGAGGGTTTTAGAGGACCTACACTATATCTTGATAAATAAAATCATTTTTTGTTCAAACAACAAGGTGATTGAAATGTTATAAAATCACATATTGGGTTAATCTTTTAATTTTTATTAAATAAATACTTGAAATAAATAATATATACTAAGCCTTTGAATTCTCTCCAACCAATCAGACCTAAAGGATCTTGAAAGCTGAGATTTCTTCTAGCAAGGATACAGCAATGAAAAATGGAGGCAATAAATATCAAACATAAACCTGTTTGAAAATGGTGCTAGTTCCAGAGCCTTCCTGTCCAAGTAGAAGCAACTTCTGAACTCTTCTGCGCTCCACAAAGTTAGGGGCAATACTGTAATTGCTAGGGGAATCTCTATGGATACGTGGCTGAGCATGAGGTACAGGCAAGGAAAACAAGGAGCAGAATAGCCGTGTCGATGCCTACATAATAACAAAAAGTGTCCGGATTTGTGCTTTTTTCTCCAAATTTAATGCCAAATTTGAACTCTATAACTTGTAAGTAGTAAGTAGTTCCATACTTTTTTCCATATATTTCCTCTGATATTATTTTGTCCTTCTTCCTCATAACGGCCATCATCATATACCCAAAAGCGAGTGTCACGAGGACATTGAACATTTGCAAGCTGAGGCGTGATGGAAAAAAGTCCAATGTTAATTAGTGCTAAAGAGTGTCTCTCAAATCATCTGCATATGAAATGAATTAATCTCTCAAAGTGTTGAACACTCATTACCTTTTCAAAGAACCCATTTGTATTTATTATACTACTGTTAATATCATTAATCATTATGCTCTATATCATGTAGACGGTAGTTTTGTGTTGAATTAGATTTAAGCTTATTTGAGCAATAGTGTAAGGTCTTATAAGCAAGTTTATATGTTATGAGTACGTGTGTACCGCCGCAAGATGGTGGTTCGTTGGAGCAGACCAATCTAAAATTGGTTTGTTCTTCCACTTAAAATTTCATACTAAAAGGTCAACTTTACAAATAGAGTAACCAAAGATCTTAGATATATGCGTGTATCTATATATTGATTGTTATGAGATCGTTTAGCCTAGGCGCCCCTAGACCGAATGGCTTCTGCTCACATTTGGCGCCATATTATACACTCTAGAAGCCCATAATGCCCAATATTTTTACAAAACAAGATTGAGATAGAAATCACCTTCATTACTTTGCGTTCAACTTTTGTTATTTCACGGCCATTAATGTAGACCTGTGTGTTTCCATTGCTTGCATGAGGACTAAGCTTTCCGGTAAAATTTAGATTTGAACTCACAATAGTCTTTGGCTTTTGTCCCTCCTAATAAATGAAGGAGACAAAACAAATATCACTATCTCCTCCTCGTAGGTAAAAAATAGAGTAAATGTGGGATTATATGATGTTTACCTTTCCCCAAAGACCAGATTCTTTGTCATACCAATACTTCCCAGGTCTTAACTTCTGAGGAGGTAAAGGGCAACCAAACAGATCTTCCATCTCTTCTGTCTTCAAAGGATATCCATTCACAATCACCTGACTCGGCCTAAGTTGATTCGCTAAGCATTCTTTCTCAGCTCTCATTATTTGCTTAACTTCCAAAGGACTAAGCAAACTAGATAACACCCTCGAATGTTTCCCCAGCTTGGTCCGGTTCGATTCCTCAATCGGCTCGCCGATGCAAGTCACACATTTTCGCCCCTCTGGCATGGATCCCATTGCTCTAAGCACACAATTGCAACAATACTTGGCATCACAAACCAAACATGACTCTTTAGTCCCCCACTTTCCTTTCCCACACCTATAACAATGTCTAGATCTATTTTTCATCTTCTTTTCTTCCTTTGATGCCCCTATGCATTCGGGAAAAACTTGTCTTTCCAAATCTAGTGATTTCCTATGGGACAAATCGACCGTGTTGAAAGTTAATACTCGTGATCGCCTCCTTCCGTCATATGTCGAAGGAGGAGAAGCTGAGGGGGAGCAAGAAGAAGATTCTAGATTATGTAGCACAGGCAACTGTGAATCAGAACTTTGGGACATCCTTTAACTTCTAATTACAGCCAGTTTGGTTTATACAAAAAATGGAAACTGAAAAAATAAATGAAGCCCCTTCTCAATCAAATAACTGAGAAAATCTGAGGCTGCATAAACCAACCTATAAAACCCCACTTTTACTCAGAAATTTAATTCCAAAGATGGTAATTTTGAACAAAGAACCAAAAAGAGTCGCAATCTTGAAAGAAGAATTCAACTCAATCCAGCTTCATGCAAACCCCAAGTCAAAGCAGCCAGCTTTGTTCAAAAATTAAACATCCTTAAAAACACAATTTTTCGTAGATGATGGCTGAGTATTATATTCAATATATTGTGAATAAATTTCTGGAAATTTTGGAGTCAACCTAGCCAAACAAAACCAAAAACCACAGCAGCATATAAATGATATCAACCTCCCTCATACATAAACATGAGGAGAAGCAGCACATCAGAAACTTGGTAAATGAGAAAGTCCAAGAAGTGCTATATATTGTATATTTAAGCAATTACATTAACATAAAGATTAAAGAAAAACTGAATTAGTGGAGCCATGAAAGTAACAAGCATGAATCCACCGCGAGGGTAATTGGGGTTAAAAAATTACAACCTTTTTAAAGGTCCAAAGCTCAGAAAGATTCAAAGGTGGGTAAAAAATGAGTCTTTTGGAATATACCCTGTTGGGGAAGGAACAAAAGAGTGAATAGCAAAGAGATACAGATAGAAATGAGCAGAGGCAGAAGCAGAGCATCATCGGCTTTTGGAATACTGTCTAAAGATGCTTTAGAAAGAGAGAAGAAGAGGAGGGGCAAATGATTGCTAAGCAGTGAGAAAAGTGGGGTCCGCATGAGTGCCCGGCCCTGTCTGTGCATGGAAATGTTGACGACGAAGGAAGGAGTTCGTGGGTAGGAGACCGCTGGGATGCGCTGTTGAAATTGAAACAAATGTTCAATTCCAGTTTTCAAGGCTGTGGCCTACCATAGTACCATACCCCTCATTATTTCAGCAATTCCTTATTTCAGAGCCCTTTATTGCTTCTTTTGCTAACAACTTTCGCCAGCACTGTTTTTCGGTTTATCAACCATTTTTTTCACCAAATACGTAACTTTTACTCTCGCGCGCTGGATTGTGTAATAAGCAGAAAAAGTAAGGTTAAAGTTTCTTTCCCGGCTGTTTTGGATGAAGTTACTGAAGATGACCATTTTAACTATTTTTACATATAATTTTTTCTTTAATTTATTAATAAAATATATTTTAAAAATAATTGTTTCTTAAATCAGCAGAATCAGCCAATGCAGTCACTTCAGCCAGAACTTCAGAAATTCAGCAGAATCAGCCAAAACAGCTGATTTTCGTGCTACCAAACTGGCTCTAAAATTTGTACACATTTCGTGCACAATTTCTTAATCGTCTATGTACACATGCAGCTCGTTCAGAAGTTGATGTGTACACAGAGAAATAGTCTTTTTGTGCAAGTAGTGCCACCCCAACAACTTAACACTACATTCTCCTCTCTAAGTTTGGTGAGTCTATTTTTGGGATTTATTAGATTTATTAGTCAACTTTTTCACCAAGCACGTGATTTTTAATATCATGCGCTGAAATGTGTAATGATAAAAAAAGTAAAGTTAGTTCCGACTGTATTGGCTGAAGTAATTATAGAGGATCATTTCAGCTATTTTTCATATATTTTTTATTTTTTTATTAATAAAAAATATTTTAAATTAATATTTTTTAGAAGTAACCAATTCAGACGCTTTTGCCAGAGATTCATAAATTTCAACATAATCATCCGATTTAGTCAATTCCAGTGTTACCAAACAGGCTCTTAGCCTGTCAATACTATATATGTCTATATGGATATAGTTTACTTATTTTGAATTACAATTCAATTATAGAACTTTCATTATGGAAAAATTCACATCAATAATTTCAACTATTAGGGATCTTCTCGTAATAATCCCAAATATCCTTATTTCAATATAATCTAAACTATGGGTAGCTTACAAAAACAACCCCATGACCTGAATAAACCAGTTCAGCCGGTCATATGGCCAGGTGTTTTGTTTTAATTGGACTTCCTATTTTATTTCCCTTTAATTTCCTTCTCTTTCATTTATTTAATTTTCCTCTTCTACTTGTTCTGCGGTCGTCTTCTTCCCTTCAACTCTGTCTTTTCTTTTCTGTTTTTTCTTTTCACCTCACACTTTTTTCTCCTCTCCTCTTCTTTTCGGTTCTTCCAATCTCTTTATTTTTTTCTAATTTCATCAATGTTCTATTAACCGTAGCCCATAAGTATTATTTAATGCTTTATTCATAAATTCATGTCTAAATCTTGATTTTGAAATACAAACCGGCACATTCGATTCAATTTCGATAAAAACATGGAGGTATGGAACCGAATGTGTTCAGATGGACAGACACGAAAAAGATGTAGTCAGATTTGCAATTGAATCCTTACTCGTGAGAAGTGGCCTGGTTGGTTACTACTTTAGACCCACGAAGAGAAGAGAACAATATTTGTTTGCCGGCCCTCTCTTCGCCTCTTTTAGGTTGGCTGCAGGCTGTTTTACTTACACAACTTCCTCACCGTCCTCCTCATAGGCTTCTTATTCTTTGAATTAAGAGAGCCAAAATTTTCCATCCAAACATACGGTTGTGCAAAAGACTCGAGAGGGGAACATTCGGAGAAGAAGACTAGGGAAAAGATAAGAGGAGATGAGATGGAAGGAGCAGGCAAAGCCATGAAGCCATCAAGTGAGATGGATAAACGGTTTTACCGGTTAAACAAGTTCCCAGTCACCTCGAAGCATTTTGGGAAGGATGCTTGTTAAGTTGAGATTATTATGGAATTATACATATGTCGGATTAATATTAGAAGAACGTAAATAGGTTGGATTATTGATGTGAACTTTTCCTTTTATTATTGCTCCTTCACTAAGTCTTGTTCTATTTCTTTCATATCTCATAAATGAATGAGTATTATTTTTGTTGTTATTAGTACTATCGTAGAACAAATAAACGAATTTTTTTATCGTCAACCGGAAAGATATATTAATTATTAAATCAATAAATCATTCGACATCTGGTTTACAGTACATTGAGGAATCGCATCATAAATAATCCTCTGATTTGAGATAGGAACATGTGCCCTTGCAAGCGCATGAGTAACACGATTCACAGATCTTCTACAAAAAGAGACAATAAAATTACTCTTATTTTCTAAAATCTTCCTAATATCATCAATAATCAAGTGAATGTATGAAGATCCCTCCCTTTTTTTTGATGCCTTGCACCACTGAAAGAGGTTCGCTTCAATCTCCGCGTGTTGCCAGCCCTCTTCCGCGGTTCTAACAGCATCACATATACTCATAGCCTCTGTCTCAGCTACAGTCCATTCCGTCGTGTTAGGAGCCCCCACGGTTAGAAGTCTCCATTACCATCTCTAGCAATCCATCCCTATGCTCTCTTTTGCCCATCCTGATTCACTGCTCCATCAACATTAATTTTGATCACTCCCTGCCTCAGTCTGACCCAGCTTTCTCCTCTAGCCTCGACCGAAGCTGATTTCGCCGAAGTCGGATCTTGAGCTTCCTTCCGACTAGCAAACATGCTAGTGGCTGTATTAAGAACACACACATCCTCCTGTACCTCATCATTCCAAAATGCTTTGTTCTTTTTTTTCAAATACTCCAAAGGATAACCACAAATCTGTCTCGACCTTCCACATCCAGCTTATCAAATTGCCCGTTAAGCAAATCTGCCGTCTCGGACTGCCGCATCCCATCGAATCCGCCCGCTGCATTCCAGACCTGCTAGACACAGTCACAAGACCGCAGTGCATGCTCAACAGTCTCCGTCTCGTCGCCACACAGCTTGCACCCATGTAGTATTATTACTCATTTTTTCCTGAGATTGTCAACTGCCGGAAGCAAACCATCGAGCACTTGCCAAACAAAAAAAATGAAATTTTGGTGGTACCTTAAGCTCCCATAAATGATTCCACTCTTTCCAACCCTCCACCTGGAACTCGCCAATCAGCGATCTATAGCAACTCTTCACCGAATAAATCCCATTATTCTCCCTTTTCCACCAATAACCATCCTTTCGATCTTGAGAGCTAATAGGAATACTGAGAATTAAGGCGTTAACCCGATCAACATTCCAATTCCTACCCGTTATATCTCTCAAAGACGCCACATTCATGTCTCTAGTCCCAGGAGGTCGATTTGAAGTAATTTTCCCAGTCCCTATTCCAGGCAACCAAGCATCCGCCCAAACTTGAACTTCAATACCATTACCCACCCGTCTTCTAATATTATTTCTAAGCATATTCTGGGCTTCAAAAGTACTCCTCCATATAAAGGATGGGTTACTACCCAGTTTAGCCTCCAGAAAATCCGAATTTGGAAAATATTTTGCTTTTAGCACCCGGGTCATCAAACAATTCTCTTCAGCAGTGAGCTGCCACCCCTATTTTCCTAGCATAGCCAGATTAAACTCTCTTAATCTCCTAAAGCCCAACCCCCCTGCCTCCTTCGGTTTACACATGCCCTTTCAACTCCGGCCTCCATCTCAATCCTTTTTTATCCAACTTGGATCCCCTCCACCAAAAACCATTCATCAACTTTTCAATATCATCACAAAGTTCTTTCGGCAACAAAAAAACATTCATGGCATAACTGGCAATATCATCACAAAGTTCTTTCGGCAACAAAAAAACATTCATGGCATAACTGGGCATAGCCCGAATAACATTTTTAATAAGACAGCTTTGCCAGCTCTGGACAGAAATCGGTTGTTTCAACTCTTAATTCTGTGATAAATTTTATCTCATAAATACACCAAAATTGCTGTCTTATTTTTTCCAACTAGCGCCGGCAACCCCAAATAATTTGACTGCCCCCTTTCACGTAAAACCCCCAGAATATGACAACAATCTTCTTTAACTAATTCCCCAACATTTGAGCTAAAAGCCAAAGAAGATTTATTATAATTAACAACCTGGCCAGATAATACTTCATAATCATGAAGAATCTTCCGCACCGTCAAGCATTCACGTCTCGTGGATTTGAAGAACAAAAAACTATCAGCAGCAAATAACATATGAGAAACCTTGGGTGCTCCTCTACAAACCACCACCCCATGTATATCCCCTGTATTCTAAGCTCTTCGCAGCATAGCACTCAATCCTTTCGCTACTAAAATAAATAGATAGGGCGAGAGGGCGTCTCCCTGTCGTAAACCTCTCCCTGGAGTAATCGGCCCTATGAAATCATTGTCAAACTGGACATAATATTTAACAGTAGACACGCATGCCATAATCAAATCAATCCACTTCTCGCAAAAACCCATTTTATTCATCATACTCCGTAAGAAGTCCCAATTAACCCGATCATAAGCTTTACTCATGTCTAATTTTAGAGCCACAAATCCATCCTTCCCATTTTGTTTCCTCTTCAGATAATGTTGTCTCTCAAACGCAACAACAATATTATCTACTATGGACCTCCCCAGTATAAACACTAATAAGTTCACCCAAAAAACTCTTCATTCTATTAGCAAGAATTTTGGAAAAAATCTTATAAACCACATTACACAACGCAATTGGCCTCCAGTCCCCCATAACCTTAGGTTTTTCTTTTTTAGGAATTAAAACAATATTAGTTATATTTAATTCCGTAGGCATGATCCCTGTCTCGAAAATACCTGAACAAAGACATCTGGACCTACTATGTCCCAGAACTTTTGAAAAATAGTTGGATTCATCTCATCCGAGCCAGGCGCTTTCTCTGGATGCATGTCAAAAATAGATGCTTTAACCTCCTCCGGACTGACAGCTCGTGTAAGCTGCCCATTCTATCTACCCGAAACTTGGGGGAAAATTCCACTCTCCCATTCATCTGCTACGGTCGAACCTGGACTGAATAAGCCAGAAAAATAATTTTTGATACAATCTGCTAACATACCTCTATCCACGATCCACTCCCCATCCTCCATCTTCAAGGCCCCCATTTTATTTTTGTGACGCCTTTGTTTAACTGCGTTATGGAAAAAGCGGGGATTGATATCACATTCTTTAACCAAAACTCCTTGGGTCGCTGTCTCCAATACTGATTCTTCTTTTCCATCAACATTTGATGTACCATCCGTACCCTTACAAATTTGGCCAGATTAATCTCATCATCACGGCCGCGAAGACCAGCTAATCTTTTTTTTATATGCCTCTATTTGGTGACGAAAACCTTTCGTACGACACTAATGTTCACTTGCTCCCCAGCTATTAACCACCACTGATCTGCATTCCTACTCTCTCAGCCAATTATTCTCGAACTTAAATTTCCTAGCCTTTCTCTCTCGAGCAGTTGTGACAACTTTCGTCCACATAGCCATATGATCGCTAACTGGAGCTTCAACCGTCGATGTTATGGCATCCGAGAATTTATCCTACCACTTATCATTCACGAGAATCCGATCCAATTTCTCCTCAACCCAATACTGTGTTCCCTTTCCTCACTCCCACGTCCATTGATACCAATCAAACGGAAAATCACGTAGCCCACATGATAAAATAGCTTCATGAAAACCCCACATTCTCCATGCTGGATGAGGGACTCTCCCCTTCTTTTCTGACTCGTATAAAATATCATTAAAATCGCCAACTATCATCCATGGTAAAGATTTATCTTCCACCAAACCCCTTAGCATGTTCCATGCCGCTTGTCTTCGGCTCGTCTCCGGGTAAGCATAATAACATGTTAATCGCCACTCCGAATTACCGGTCAGCGTATTCACTTTGCAATCAATGAAGTTTGCATTCACTTCGATGACAGTGAATGATCATTCCATCCAACAACAGCCCCCACTCCTTCCATCGCAAGATACCCCCGCCGAGTTCACGAACCCTCTCACTTGAATGATCTCTTTGGCCTGCTGACACCTCAATTTAGTCTCCATTAGAAACACAATCGTCGGTCGGTATTGATGAATGATATCCGACAGCCCTTGTATGGTTGCCGGGTTGCCCAAACCTCTACAATTCCAACTTAATATATTCATTGAGTAACATAATTGGAATTGCGCTATAGCAAGAAGCCTTCGATTGAGCCGCCTAAGTTAATCGCACAGCAAGAAACACTGGACACGAGCAAGTCGGCCAGAAAAAACCCTTAGGCTAAACCTAGACAATGGCCGCTATTTCTTAAACATACTAAATTTTAAAAAATGGATGACTCTAAATGAATTAGTTTATTGAATGAGCTCATAATAACAAATTACTTTTAGTGATAATAATATTCAAAATTTACATTATAGTAACAAAATATTTAGGGTTAACAAAATATTAAGAAGTGCGTAGTAGTTTAATTTTTGTTATTATTAGTACTACTATAGGTTATTATTAATTTATTATTACATTAATTAATTACAATAACAGAAAAATGATAATAATAGCTGAAACGGTACTCCAATAATAATCTACAAATGACACAGTATTAAGATCATGCTAGAAAGTAGAAGCAATCAGATTAGCTCTAATAAGAAAGGCTGAAGTACAGCCAAAAAACGCTAAAAACGGACTTGATAATGAAAGATTAGTCCAAACATTCAGCCATTATGTATTTTCCTCGCTCACTCATCATTCAATACAATATTTATTTAGTCATTTAGGAGAAAAGCCTGACCAAGAAAGTGAGACACTCAAATCTCAATTCATGAAAGATACTCGTTTTGTATTTGAGTCATTAAATATTAGACAAATATTCATTTCATCATTTGGAATCATAATGATGAACAACATACAGTACATTCTAAACTCATAATCCTTACACGAACATTACGGGTCCAATTAAATTAGGACCCATAAAAATCACATTATTATTTCATTACTGAAGTACTAAAATGAAGAGGTAAATACGCATTTATTAAGTTTAGCTGTATTATTGCTATTACTATTTGGTGGGGGTACAAATAAATAACAAACAGTTACAACAGAAACTCTAAATTACTGTACTGCAGAAAAATGCTTAAAAATCTGCTGTCCGTTATTAATTCAAATCAAATCTTGATAGATGAAACACCTGAGGTAACTTCCCGGATTCGAGGGTCATCATGCTTCTCCAGGGAAACACCATGAGGGTCTTCTCTCACAAGAAGGGTGAGCACATTGCGTGAACTCCATGCTCTGATGAGATTGTCTGTGCTTGAAGTATTAGAGACTCCTAATGTGACTGCAAAGATGGCATCAAAGCCACCCGCACCTGGAACACCAGCCAGCACTACTCCCTCCCTACTCATTGTCTCATCCAGAAGCCGCGTTTGAGATTCTGGTTCTATCTGCACACACCAGTGTTAATATTTGGTAGAAAATGACCAGCAACCACCAAGTCTTTAGCAGTATTAGCACTATACTATAAACTTCTGTTTTGTCTTCATTTTCAAATTTCTAAATTATAAAACATGTCTTCCTGTGTTCTATTATGTGCTATATTTGTTCTATATTAGTTCCAACAGTGACTTTTGTACTATTCACAAACACTTGATTGATCATATAATGTATTGATGTGTTGAGTCATATTCATGTTTTTTTTTCTTTCTCTTTTTTTTACTCCAGGGGGCGTCTGGAGGAGGGGTGGGGGGCTGGAGTAACTGGGCTGAAACTCACTCCATTGAGTCATATTCATGTATAATATGATACCTTTGTCTTCATTCGAATTACCAAAATATCACTTTTTAATATAAATTTTACTAATCGATAATTAAATAAAGTCATGGTCAAAGTCATGTATCGGCAAATGTAAAAGTCAAATCAACGCAACTAAATAAGAACAGAAGAAGTATGTGATTTATACTCCCTCTATCCCCAAAAGAGGAATTATGTTTCAAAAACTTCTGTGTCCAAGAAATAAGTGGCTTTAACAGTCAACTCTACTTTTAAGTAAAACTCATGTAAAACAGTCCAAGTAAAAACGTCCTCACTCTCCAACACGGGAGGTCTCGGGTTTGAAGCTCCATGGAGGGAGTTTCAGCCATATTTACCCCAGGCTCCCTCCACCCTCCTCCACCCTAACCCCCTGGGGTAAAAAAAAAGCCAAGCACCAAGTGGATTTGGTCAACTTCTCCAAACAATTTCGCAAATGCACTTCACGTGATTGAGCGGATTAAAAATAAAAAGTTGTACTTTTTTTAAACATAATTCTTTTTCTTCTACTTTTTTTATGAAGGGGGTAAGATCGTTATTTTTATTTTAAAAGATTATTTGATTTATAACTGATTATAAACAATTTCAAAATCAGAAACATGTCTCCAAAAACAATGGAAAAAATTAAATTCATCTTTCTAATAAATTTAAACGTTCTGTTATTTTTTTTATTTTAGAAACTGAACGAAAAAACATGTGTGAACACTTTTCTTGTATTATTTTGAGAAGTGAAAATGAAATTTGATACACAAAACAAAACCATTACCAATTATCAAACGTAACCTAAATAAATTAATAACTAAATGCACCGTAGCAGTTCTGAATTTCAAAGCTTGTTGTTCAGTTCAATGTGTCATCTCTGACTCTTTTTTTGTGTGGGGAGAGGGGCATGAGGGATGGGAGAAATAGAACAAAAGGCTCTTTTCTTGTAGATGAGAACTCACTGGGATTCCGGCAGCCTCGCCCATTTTGCGCATTTCATATCTGATACCTAGCATGGCGTCCCGAGCTCCCAACAACTCCTTAACGACCTCTGTTTGGTGAAGCCCACTGACTGTCTCCCTCCACTGTTGATGGGAAAAAGTTTCCAGAAAGGTGAACTTATGTCAATACCCATTGCCCAACAGTATGTAAGGAACACAGAAAACGCAATAGAAGAGCATTCAGGATATATTCTATAAAAAATGTTCAGGAAAATATAGCATGGTTTCAAACTCAAATAAATACTACGTATAATTTTAGTATTTTTTCAAAGTACTATAAAGAACTTACCTTTCCAGCTGGAAGCGTGCTGCAGCAGTTGATAATATACTCATACGAAGTATAATCACTTTCTGACAACTTCGATAAGGCATTCAGGTTCCTTTCAAGAGCAGAATTTTTTTCCAGTAACTTCCTCCATGTTTCCTGTGAACTTTGAGGGTCTGACTTCTGCCATTTTTTTACAGCACCTACCATTGATGGTGTGGATGATCCTCCTGATCCTGGCTCTCCTAGTAACTACAACACTCTTATTAGCACTCTAATTATAAGATTTGAAGAAACAGTCTTCAGCAGTAAAATATCGTACTCTCAGTCCTAAAAATAGTCCTGTTTGAAAAGTTTTTTTGGAGTCAAATTTTTACTAGTGATTTTTAATAATGTTACTATAAAGCTCTTGTAACAAGAATGCATTAAAACAACTTAGGCTTCACGTTATATTAGCACTCTCAAAATTATAGAAGCAATATGAGATCAAGGCATGATATAAAAAACAGGAAGAATATTGTAGGGTACAACTACAAGTGATAATTCATACTTTCAAAAACTTTTGTGTTAATTAAGAAGATTAAAATAAAAATATGTACCCATTCAATCACGACTCTTGGGATGGAGGGAGTAGGTAATATTTTTTACAGAATCACAGTTAGCTAATGGTTATTTGGTTACCTGCTATTCTTTTTTAATAATTATCTCACAGGTCTCTCTACTTGCCTAACATAGCAAACAACACATTTTTCAAAGATAAATGCCATCCATATTTTAGATTTTGTAGCAGATAAATAAACCATCAAAAACAAATATGGAATATATCTTACAAGAGTCATCAAAGGAGGCAAAGAGAATTTAGTCCTCTCATGGTCCCACTTTGCTTTTAGCACCTCACTTATGACTTCTGTCAGTGGAGTTGCCATACCTGCATTCTTTAAATACGTACAATAATAAAAGGGGAGCATAAGCTAACTATTCCAGGACATAAAACATAACTTAATCCATTTAATAATTATATGTTAAACAAGAAAACATCAATGGTTCTTCGAAACTTGGAAAGTGCGAGGGAAAGAAAATGTGGAGGAAGATGTAAGGGAACGTTGGAAGGAATGAAAATGTGGGTGGATAAAAGCATCGGTCCAAACTCAAATAAGTGCAGCTTTGATATACGTTCAAACTCATTCAATGTATCTATTTCATACTATAAAGACTAATAAATCTAAGTATATGTGTACTTTTTGAAGACATTAACCATTCTTCATTGCCCTTTGGATTTTCTAAGACAAAACCAACCCAAAGAAAATGACTTTCCTTAACATTTTGTTCCATTCCATAGCACTTTTCTAGTGTCTGTTTGGAATCCCTAAAATGGTAGGGAAAGGAAAAAAGAACAAAAATATAGGTAATTTGTCAAACGAAAAGTTGGGTGAAAAAATATACTTCAAACTCAATTAACCTATTTTAGTTCCTTGTTCTAACTCATTTTATTTATTATACAAATCTATCACATGAAAAATAAGAAATCTAAATCTATATAAAAATCTTACAAAGTTATAGTCAAATTTGATATCCCATTGTATTTTCCGAGGTAAAACCACACTTAAAAACATTATCCTTGGCACTTTTCCTTTCAATAGCACTTTCCAGGATCCAAATATACCCTTAAGATGGTATGTATGGGTTCATACCTGAGCAGGAGAAAGCACGTCAGGTGAAAACCGTACATACCGTTGGCTTCCATAGACTGCAGAACTCACATCAAATCCACTACCAACTTTACCCTGTGCAATGCAGTGTGCGGCTTGAGCAATCACATGAACAATGTCAAGAACATCAGCATCTCTCTTTCCTTGAAATTTATCATCGGTCAAAGAGGAAAGATTAACAACGCCAAGGTAATGAAGCAAAGCAGCAGCAACTGCAGTTGTCATGGCTGCTGATGATCCTAATCCAGTCTTAGCAACTTCAGGTTTTTTACTTTCACTGCCAGCTTCTTCTGCATTAAAGGTTATTGAAGTGAAAGGAGGAAGAGAAGCCAGAGATTCTGGTGTTAGAGGAAGTCCATGTGCTTCAATCTGCAAATGGAAGAGTTCAAAGGTTATAATGTTGACAGTGTACAAAATATGAAGGGGTATAACAAAATCCAGTCACCCATCCTTGGGATTCAGCTCGTCTAATGACAGAGTTCTGGATAAGGGTATGCCGTACCCTTATTCAAATTAATTAGTGATAAGTAGGTGGATTTATCTATTTAACCACATATCTTTAGTATTCACTATTCATCAAAGCCAATGTAAATGTCTAAGTTCTAACGGCCTAAGGGCACCCCACAGTTCATTACAGAATCCCACTCGTGAACTGTAGTTGGGCATGAAAGGTTGCATCACAGTCCACAGAGTGGTGTCAACTGTCAACAGGTCAGATGGTTCGGCCAGTTACGTTTTCCCGTATTAGATGTTCAATGCATATTTTGTACTTATCTTCCGAACTTGCTCATATTAATTCTTCCTAGGTTAAACACTTTTACACCTTTGAAAGTAAATGAAGAGCATTCAACATTAAAGCCTTAAACTTGAATGCAGTTTATTGAATGCTACTCTAATATGTTTGCCCTTTTCTACAACGCTAACTATCTTAGGACAAAGGGAATTTTATATAAAAATGTACACGATATTATTTATTTTATGTTATCCAACTGTCCATTATAATGTACAACCCCTGGGCATCCAATATTCGAAGCTCTGACTCAATAGTGATTAAAGGTGTGAAGTTTTTATGACTAGTTTATTTATTTTGTTTGTCCATTATAGTGATGTCAAACCTGGTTATTTTGAGTCAACTCTGACTCAATATTTTGTGTATATAATCCAATAGTTTGAGTGTCGAATACCTGGTTCCGGTATGAATAAAATTCATTGCAACCCAAGATTGTGATGTCAAGACCTGCATGGCTAATCCATTTAAAATGTTAATTGTTGGTTTGCTTTCTTTGATAAACTTTTAATTAATAATTAATAATAGTAATAGTAATATATACTCCCTCTGTCACACCTTAAGTTTCTCACTTCTTCTTTTAGACGTCTCAGTTAAAGGTTCTCATTTCTATTTTAGAAAATAATTAACACTTAAATGTCAACTTAATAATCAGATATTAAAAATAATACACCTATAACATCATAGTTATCATCAATGACCTCATTATATTATTTACTCATCAAAACTACTTCTCAAAATATACTCAAATAACCTTATTTAAGTATTGTCTAAATAATCGTGTCATTTTTCAATGAGAAGCTTATGCTGGGACGGAGGTACTAATAAAGACACCATATTTAAGGACAATACTACAATTTTTTAGACAATCAAGTGAATAATCAAAGCGCCAGATATTACCTTGCAAAAGTAGTTTATGTAAAACATCCTTTTTATATTTATCAAAGGTTGCATGTGCTGCTGCAATGGCATACTCCACTGCATTTTCCACAAAGGGGTTTCTTGAATCGCTGTTGTGCATCCATCAACAGAAAGTGACCAATACCAATACATTTCTAATTATTCATGGATCAAACAATGTATAATGAAAATATGGAGAGATCAAATAACATGAACTCAGAGACAGGTAGCAAACTTGCCGAGTAGATGAAGGCTGAAGTTTGAAATGTTTAAGTGACAGTTTGTAGAGAGTTTCTCTTGACATCTGAGGAGAAGTTAATTTCACATCTGTCCATGCCTGCAAATCACATGCCGCCCAGGTTACAGAATATAGCAATATACACTGTTAAATAATTCTAAACCAATTAAAGGGGTCAAGTCTTAAGCTTGTTCATTGAAGATCCCCATTCTTGCTTAGGACAAAATAATCTTGAAAGACAACCAATCAGGCCACCACACCATTGATAAAAGAGTAATCACCTTAGGTAGGAACAATATATTGATGATTTCGTTAAAGATGGGTATTTCTACATTTTCCACACATTAACTCATAGTACACATGATCATAATGTAATTACTCTCCCTGACCATACAAGCTACAGTAATTAGAATGACATGGAGATCCGTAGTCGGCTTCTTCCAGTCTGGAAGCTGAGATTGTTGCTACTCTTTGAGTGATTGCTGCTGGCTTTTCCGATTTCCAGGTGGAGCTTGATGCAGTGGTAGCCTTAGCTTACATTTCGGATAATGGGGAAGGAAGATGGAAGTGTGCGGTTCAGGAATGCTGCAGATATATAAAAGGAAAAGGTTTTTGTTTGGACACACTTGGCGTGAACAGAACTGGGCTGCGCATTGCCTTGCTGAATTCTTGCAAGGATTATATGATCATTTCACAAAGAAAAAATGGTCAAATAGATTCTTCTATTATTTCCAATCCATCACTAAAGCCCTTATACAAAAAAAGTATCACATAAGTACGATTACTTTAAAAAGCCAATCAATCGGGCCTTTTAACCCGTTTTTGACTTGTAATAGCATGTTAGTCCGTATTATATAATTTCTTATAAAGAATTTGTTAAATTTGAAGAAATTAAAATAAAACCTGTGGACAATTTAAGAATGTCGAAGTCTGTATTTTTTATTTTGGAACTATTTGTATATTCTACATCTTTTTTAGAAAAATATGACATTTTAATTTTATATTTTTTAAACTTCCACTTTATTTTTTTCATTTTTCTGATATTTTAATTTTTATTTTAATGTTTTATAATTATACTTATTTATCTATCTTCAAATTTATATTATTTTAATATCATTATTACAGTATTTTCAAATTTATACGAATTTTTATAAGACTTATTGATTGTTTTAATTAATCTTTAAAAAATAACCTGTTATAGCAGGTTAAAATGGCTTGATTGACTGTTTTTATAAGTAAACGTACTGATCTGATACTTTTTTAGTATAGGGACTTAAGTGATAGATTGAAAATAGTAGAAAGATCTATTTGGCCCTTGTTCTTTCACAAATACTACTCCTAAAGAATGAATGGTCAAAATATGATGCTATTTGTGGAATGTATACACGTTATACGGCAATTTCCATTGATAATAACGCTACAACTGAGTGGATATTCAAGATTTGTAATGACTCACCCATGCCCAACTATTGGGTTTGACATCCTCATAAAGTGGCTTCACAATGGCATAAAAGCGAGCATTTGTACTCAGGACAATCCCTGGATTGGGCCTCTCAAGGATTAGATAACCTCCTGTTATCAAAACTTTTCCCGGCGCAGAAGCAACCCTGTTTAAGCATTAACAAAAATACATACACCATCCTTTCATGGACATGAAGAGCTCCTCTAGGAGATATATTAGCGATGTTTACGGTAATAACACGGGGGATAATGATAATAAATCAAATCCATATCTTACACAGCCATCTTCTCACTGATCTCCTAAGTGGTGATTTCTGAAGTCTAATCCACAAACTGAGCTGTACCACGAATCTAAAGATACTTTTTGAGTTTCCATTTCAAGGATACATCTTTGACAAATAAATTTTAAAAAACTGAGGGAAAAATATTCAAACTCACCAAAAACAGATTTTCCTTCGCTGAGTAGCCTTGACAACGGTCACCCAAGAATCCTATCAATGCAGAATTTCAAAATGATGCAGAATGAAAGTGTGAAGGAAAAAAAGGAATGCCGCGGGGAGAGAATTGCGAGTAGGATACTGAATAAGAGTTTTGGCTTCCTGATCAACTCGGTGTTTTTCAATCAAACTTGGGTTACAACGGATTAATTTACTAGTTTTCTAGAAAACCAGGGAGAAAAAAATTGTCATCAGTTTAACAGGTCCGGGAGAATAGTGTATATTTATAATATTTCATTACATGCTCTACAATGTAGTGAAAAACACCACATCTCATGTATCTTCGACATACATGCATATATACACACACACAAATGAATTTTACCCTTACAGCTTAACAGGTCCGGGAGAATAGTGTATATTTATAATATTTCATTACATATTTACATCCTCTACAATATAGTGAATAACACTACTAGGCTTCAAGAACTGCAAGCAAAGAAATAATCACTCTGAAGTCTGAAGGGATCAAATAAAGAAAATATAATTATTGGTACTTTTGACACCGATATAAAGAACACATAACAAATGAGTAATTTTTAATTTATTTTTATTATGATCAAATGAGATCATATATTTCACACAAGGAATTGCACGATATTAGAAACCTACAGATCGGTCTAATAAAGCCACAATTTCTTAGCAGAGAAAATGTATCCTAATTTTTACTTTTCTCAATTTAACTTTTACTGATTTGATCAACAAATATTTGAGTCATTTTCTAAATAGTGAAAAAATACCCATATGACAATGTAACCTTTCAAGTTTCAAGTATGATCAGATTAAAATAATAATTAGATGAACTGAATAATGCCTTTGCAGGTGGAGGTATGTTATATAAAAGGCTGTTAATTTTGGGAGCTAATTACTCTAAATGGCGGCCTCTTCCTACAAATGGCTGCTAATTTGAGTACTAATAATTAATCTGCAACATACAATGCAGTAATTTGAGGAAACAAACTTCTCCCATATGTAAAATGGGCATATTATAGGTCAGGATTGGATGAAACAGATATCTATTTAAAAACTAACTTGGCTGAAATATAAAAAACTATATTTCAAAACTATACGCTTTTGATATATGATATATAAAAAAGAAAATAAACGATTACGCTTTTCAACCTAAAATCTGTTTAATTTACTGAAATATAACTATTATAAGCCTTTTAAATGGTCGGCTTGGTTTTAATGTACCAAACTTTCGGTGCTTTGATAACTTGGCTTACACTAACCTTTTTCTTGTTTTGGATCATCCCATTTTTTCTTTTAAGTGTGTTAAAGTTTTCTGTGTGTTATTTGTTTGGAGAGTATGACCTCTAGGACCCTATCCTTAATCTCATCTCATTAATAAAATCAGTGTCAATTTACAAATAAATAACTTGTCATTAAATAAAACTATAACCTTTGATTCTTTATCACGACCTAAATAACTGAAATATGATAGTGCCAAAGATTAATATATAGTATAAATGGGCAGTTTCAAAGTCTCTTATTCAGTTCCACAAGGGAAATGAGAATGAATCTAATCCTACCCTAGGGCATTCACCTTTCTCGGAAGTCGGTCCCTTTACATAGCCACAATAAGCAGTTTGTACAAAGAAGCTGCAATTGAGTCAGCTAGCCTAGAAACAGCTGCTAGAGGATAGGGCGTTAGGGGTAAAGATTTCCCAACTGTTCAATTCACCAGTGTTCTGTATGCAATTGAATGGGTTCTTCATGGTAGCATTCACAGCTGATTCTTGAACTAATAACCATAAAGCAGGGACAGATCGAATAAGTGTAGCACAGACAGGCTACTAAGGCAGAGGGAGGCTAATTTCTGAATTCTGACAACCATGTAAGCAAGCCTCAATTACAGACTTTTTTCCCCCTTTAATCCCCTATTGACATCCTATTTTCTGAATCTAAGTTAAACTCAGTGGCGGACACAGGGGGGTGACAAAGGGGGGCTGCTGCCCCTCCAAAAAAAAATTCTAGGTATATTTACCCCGAAATTTTTAATGTATATGTATTTGTATGTATATTTTTGTACTGCCACCCCTGCTACCGGAAATTCCTGCGTCCGCCGCTGGTTAAACTAGTATCCACCTTCCTCCTTTGCCGGTACTATCAATTAATAAAAACATCTCTAAAAGTACTTAATCATGTAGCTGGAACCATTTATGACAGAATATATCACATTCAGCCATATTGAACTAAGACACAAAATAACGGAAAGATTGGGCAGAGCGACAGAAATTAAATTCAGACAAAAAAATGTATTCATTTGCATGGAAAAGAATTAAGAAAAGCCCCAATATCAAAACAAAGAATGAACGAACTAACCAGAAGTCCAGAATAAAAGAAGAAAACCTTGAAGCTTTGGAAAGTATGCAAGTAATTTCAGGACTGGGAAAAGAAAACAATTAACTCCAAATTAACAGAAGATATATAATTCATTAAACTAAGTAAAGTATAATCACAGATACAAATTATAAGGAAAAATGGACATGAATAATCCCAACTATACGTGATTTGCTTGAAATAATCTCAAGTATTAATTTTCTCAAAATAATCCCAACTATTGAAAAAAATTTCAAATTACTCCAATGACTTATAATAACCCATAAATTAATTACATAGCATAAAAATCGCTAACTACTTCAAATTAAACAAGTCAACAACTATCAAGTACTGGTGTAAAATAATAGCTTTAAAAAAATATGAACTGGTCAACTAAAGTGAATTTCAACAAGGGCAGAACCAATTAAGTGATAGCAAATTAACAATCAACAACAAAGATTTATGAATATGAACTAATCGTTTAATTAAACAAACAAACATATCATTAAATCAACTAAATATTTATAAAACAACTACGAATTAAATCTACTAATGAACTAATTTACTAATCAATAAAAAAGGACTGGAGTATGGAGAAATACCAGGGCTACAGAAGGTCCGAAGGTGAAAATTGAGAAGGGCCGAATCTCCGAAGGAGGTAGTGGCGGTTTTGCTGCGTTGATTTTGGGTCTTTGGACAATTGGGCCGGTAATAGGGCTGAAAACCAATTAAATTAAAATAAATAAAAATAATTTAAATATCTAAATTACCCTTTAAAAAAATATCTGATCCAAGTGAAAGAAGAAAGCGATGGAGAAGAAGACGAGTCACACTAATCTCCCTATCATATCCAATACCTTTTGCCTTGCACCTGTCAGGGTTGTAGGAGCCAATTTTTTCTATTAGCAGGGAAGAAAGGCTTAAGCTTTTGAGTAGCCAGCACTGAAAAGCATTGAAATCGCAGGTAAGATTCTGAATTATAACAAGCCGTCGAGAAGAAGAAGAAGGCTGAAACTAAGATTCTGAAGAAGGCGGATAGCAATTGCCATGGAGAGTCTTCTCAATCGGATGAAAAATTAAAGGTAAATCAACAAACGATTAGATAAGAGTATAAGACTATGTATAAACTTCTTTAAACAATGGAAGGCTACGCGAACAGAAACTATCACCTCTCATCGGTTCCAATTTCACTCGTCATCTTCTTCAGGCCTCCCTTCTCGCTGCTCTGCTTTTTTCCTTTTCCCTTCCAATTACCCCTCAGTTTACTCTCATATTCTAGGAAAGTTCTATATTCAGCCCATATTTAAAAAGTTGCTCAATGCAGCCCATCTGGCCCAAATGAAAAAATATACCAGCATAATAGTACTCCGTACTCTGTATTTTCTTCTTCAACAGTGAGTGTGCACCAGCCACCAGGTACTAGCGTCCGCACCGCTGCGAGCCTCCGCCGGCTACAGCGCGCTTCCCTGCCTTCTACCGCACCTGCACACCGGGAAACTCTGAGTTCTGTCTTTCCAGCTACTACTTAGCTAGGTGAGCCTAAATAAAAAAAATCATTTTTCAGATTTTATTCAAAATATAAAAAAAATCCTTATTAAATTGATGATTTTTTATGGTATGTGTTTCGAAAAAAATCAGACTCAATTACTCATTGACCATTTTTTTATGTTCAATTAGTAAATTGTAGTTTTCTGAAATTTTTATTAGTGAAATATACGGAGTAGTATTTTTATTTATTTATTTATTCCGGTTAAATATGCAAAATTTATGTTCTGGTTTTTGATGCCTAAATTTCACAGCATTGTATACTTAGAAAGTATGCTATCACAAATCAATTTTCGTGGCTTGTAATTTTATGTACTTTGATTGTGAGTTGTTTTCAACACTCCAACATTTTTGGGAAATATATAATATTATCGTGATTTGTGTGTATGAATTTTAGTGCCATTGTTTAGTATTAATAATTTAATACCATTAGCATTAATATCATTGTCAGTATTAGTCTGATTGTTTAGACGTTTAGCATTAAACCATTAGCATTAGTATGATTATGAATTGTGACAAATATCATTTTTATCATTAATACCATTAGTTTTTGTTAGTATGAATCTTATTGCTTCTAATGCACATGTGACTTGTGAGGACCTTTTTGCTATTTTCTAACTTATTGTACGATGTTGTGTATTGTTGTAGAGTAATAAAAGCTAAATAAGGTAGGTTTGAAGTGATATTATAAATCTATTGAAGTAGAAGTTAATGAAGATGGTTCACTAAGAATGGTATTGGCCTCTCGTAGATCTAGATGAAGAAACTTCAAAAAGACTATATAAACCCGTTGAGAAAAAAAGATATCTCCTTGAAAATTGACAGTGATCAAGTGATGTCATTTTCAAGTGATATCATTTTATGAAAGTCCATAGAGAACAAGTATGAATTTATTATGTGTTTTTTTTATTTGCCTCAGATGAAAACTCTTATTCTTGTAAAATATTTGAAACATTTATTTTTTATTTTACTTTTTTTATTCAATTGTAGTTATACGTAGTATCATTTAGGATGTTTTCTTTTGGACTGAAATTTGTTGGTCTAGTCTGGTCTCTATGCATTTTATAACTATGGAAGTCTGGTCTGGTCTGCGACTGAAAACAGTCCAAAAGAAAACATCCTTACTATGTATATGAAAATTTTGGCCTCACCTAGATTGAAATGCTAGATCCGTCCCAGACCATCATGTCAGAACTTTGAATTTATGGTGGTTACTCGTTTCGTGCTATGATTTTGATTTCAGTTTTAAGTTTCCAAATATTTTAATATTTCAAGTTTGAGTTTAAACACAACGTTTATCACCCAGTTTAAAATGTATGATAATGAGATTATCTAAAAACCAACCCTTTTCAACAAAATAAATTCATTAAACAACCCAATTGATGCCGGTTGTGTCCATAACATGTGTGGTAATGTGGTCATAATAGATTTTGTCATCACTAAATTGCCCACCCCAACATAGGTTATAAGGATCTCAGGATAGGTGAATATCTAGTTCCATGACAAATCATTGATGTCGCTAATATGCACCATATCTAAATTAGGTGTGCCAACTTATTATGCCCTCAAAGCGTGCCATTTAAATAACGCAGGAGTAGACATGACAATTATATATGATCCGGTACTTGCATTGAATGGTTCCAGGTAAACTGTGAAAAGCACATTGACCAAGTAGAGAGTACTAGATAGGAATAAAATAACTATTACTCCCTCCGTCCCTCTAACTTTGTCTTGTTTTACCTTTTTCGTTCGTCCCATTAAGTTTGTCTCATACCATATTTGGTAATATTTGGGTGGTTACAATTCATTCTTACTTTATTCACACTTTAACAATTCAATACCAACCACACAATTCTACTTTTTCTTAAAAGTTGTGTCACACCTCTTTGTCCCAAACATAGTGGGACAGAGGTAGTATATTTTAATTTTAACGGGTTATGGGGTGGTTAGAGTTTCTTGGGTGGTTGGGGTTTCGTAATTTCCTAAACTCGTTCATCATCATCATCATCATCACCCCAGTGCCGCAAAGGCTCCCACCTACGGTGGGGTAAGGGGGGGTCGGATGTACACAGTCTTACCCTTGTACTAAAGCACAGAGAGACTGTTTCCGGATGACCCATAGTGAAAATCGCGTCAAAAATTGCATGGACTGATTGCTGCTTCATTACAAAGAAGTGCAGACAGTTTAGTGAGCCAATTTGCTTTATTCCATCATATTCCCAAGACAAAAAACAGTGATTCTTTGGCTCCATTGCAAATGATGGAAAATTCCTAGACTCGTTCCCTTGCAAAAATTCAGATAAGGTCGTCACATCAGCAGTTTTTATCCCTTTTTCCGTCTGGAACTAGTCCTTTATTGAATATTGATATAACCTAGCTGTCTGTTCGCAATTTCCTTTCTAGGTCAGTTTTGATTTTATTTTATATCTTGTGGTGTTTAGAACTGATTTTTAAAACATATTTAAAGCTGCATCAGTTTGCTTGAGTATTTGGACATAAATTTGGGGAAGTTTGGGTTGTAGCTCCCAAAAAGGGATTCTGATTGTATATTTTTTAGTATACAATCAGGAAAATTGATATCTGAATTTTTTATTATGTTCTTAAACAGAATCAGAAGCACAATTACCCTCGTGGTTCCTCTCTTGGTATGATTAAACGGTTATTCACCCATCTCCTCTGGTTATCATTCCACTCTGCACTTGCTTGAGTCTTTCTTGCATCAAGTTATCTTTGTTAACCTATTGAGTTTGTATAATTTTGTATCTATTTTAGAATCCTGATTCATTAATTCCACAGGTCCTTCCTTTTTAAGGTCGTTACATTTTTATAAGCCGAAGATATCAGAATCTCTACCTCGATGGTGAAGTCTAAGACTCAATCAAAGAAGCAGCAAAAGCGTGGTGTCGATTTTAAAGTATTTACTATTTCCTTATCTTGCTTAATTCTTAATTTAGAAACGCGAGATAAAAATATGTTGTATTGATGATTGCTCAATACTTCAAATTGTTCATATGCTCATGCATTTGTTTCTTTTGATGTTGACTTTCCAGAAAATCAAAAGAAAAGTTGGCAGAAAATTGCCTCCCCCAAAGAACTCTACAAACACAGAAATCAAATCCAAAGGTTCTTTCTCATGTTTATTCTTTTTTTTTTATTGCAGAAAGCTTGTTTCATGTTTATTTGTAGAATATATGCTTACAAAGCTGTGTGTTAACATATATATGCGGTTGTCTGCATTTAGGCCAAGGTTATACTGAAATTGTCTCTTGTAAGAACTGTAATTGTCAAAATATCATATCTTGGTTCACGAGTAGAACTATCCCAATAGTGGCTCGTTTTCCAAAAAAATCTCTTATTAAATATAAGTAGGTTTTATTTTTAGTTTATCCATATAAGTAGTTTACCTTACTACTGAAGAAGAATCCAGATTCTAGGATTTCAGTTACAAATCTGTATAGTTAATATTGTATTTAGTAGCTTACATTATACACTGTCTACATCTATGTATATATACCACAAGTCCGCAACATATTGTAGAATAAAGCATGGAATTCAGCCTAAACATTCTATCCCTTCTAAATCTCTTTAACTACTAGTGGAACATTGCTATTTGAGGATATGAGTTGGGCTGATGAAAATGTTATAATGTTCCTTAACTCCTATGAACAGCCATTGTGCTTCCCGAGCAGAGTGTATCTTTGGAGAAAGCAGGTTTAGCTGTGAGTAAGAAAGGATTAACTCTGAAGGAGCTTCTTCAACAAACAAGTCATCATAATGCTAAAGTCCGTAAAGGTACTCTCAATGTGGCACTTTTTACTTGTGTATATCCCTCATCTTAAGAGATGTTGATCATTGAACCCAACAGGATCATCATTGGATGAGTATTTAAGGCTGTTTTTTATACATCTTTTATGAGCGCAGCAGAATTTAACTGCATGTTTTCTTTTCAGATGCATTGGTTGGAGTCAAGGATGTATTTCTTAAATACCCAATTGAATTAAAGCTTCACAAACTTGCTGTTATAGAGAAACTGCGTGAACGCATTAGCGATGATGATAAGTTGGTCCGTGAAACGCTATATCAACTGTTTAAGTCGGTGATCTTACCTGGATGCAAAGAGGTATTTTTGGATGCAATGGTTTAGTTTTGGTAGTGATATCCAGTGTTACAAAGTAATAAACCAGATATTATGGTCATTATGGTTTGAGTGAATGCTATGCTTTTATTGAAGACCAGAATGCATTCCTTTTCTTTTCACGCAAGTTTATCTCACTATGTATATTTTGTAAACTAAGGGCAGCTATGGTTGTATTTTTTCGGTTTCAGGATGTAAAGGGGGCTTTTATTTCCCTGATAATGGTGTACATTTTGAGCGCAATGACAAGCCTAACAATAGATGTGAGACTAATGGCTTTCAAATTTTTTGACCTTGTCATCCAAAGTTATCCCTCTTCATTTTCCCTTTACTCTGAAAAGGTACGTGATTTTTTTTTTTGAAATAAATGGATAAGCTCTTACTTCTTGAGTTACTATGTCTGAGATTTTGGCTATATATCAGTGCCTTCTTCGTGTATAAGTTTAATTGAATCATGCTAATATGCCTCTCTGCTCTTGCTTCATGCATAAGTTTAGTTAATATATGCTAAGGTGCCTTACTGCCTTTGTGCCTTAGCATGGAGCCATGGACCTCAATGAACCAATTTGGCTTGAAAACTTATACTCAATCAATAATGTTGCTTGATTAGGTTTTTCAAACATAACATGTGCATCATCCTCTCACGCTAAATCAGGCCTTAGGGCCATGTCCTGAGTCAAATCAGTCAGCGCCTGATCTCTAAATGATTAACTATTATTATCAATATTATTAGGAAGGGGGTGAGTATCAGGCTGGTAAGCCCAAGGTCGGTCTTGCCCTCATTGGCTAGGTCTAGTGCTTCTTGTCTGGTGCATGGCAACCTCAACTGCCTATTGGGTTTAGCACTAGACAAGATGGTGTTATTCCAGACATGTTTCATCTTTCTGATTTTGTTGCGTCTTGATTGTTGTAAACTTTAAATTCTTCTCCAGATTTTAAATGTTTTGGTCCTTACATTTTCCTCTTCCATTGAAATTGTAGATCCTTCAAAATTATGGAGACATTTTGCAGAAGAACACATATCACCTACATGATAAAGGAAAGCTTAAGATTGCTCTTTCTGGGTTGACGCACTGCTTAGCATTGCTGCCTTTCAAAAACAGAAGTGCAGGTCTCTCAGCAGATAAGAATGTATACATTATTAACTGTTCCTAGTTAGTTATTTTGATTCTGTTTGTTGTAAAGCATTAGTTTGATGAAGTCTGTCTATTTCAATCTTCATTTGTTCAAAACACATTAAACAACTCAGCTATGTGGTAATCTATGAAACTATGGAGACTTTTGTTAGTTCTATTATGTATTAATAGTTTCTCTCGAGCTTGTTACTGCCACTATCTTGTCATAGGTTGTTATATGTTAAGGCTGGTCAACTTTATGGCTTGGGTTATTAAGTTATTTATTTATGAGGGTCTAGTGGAGAAGTTCTTTTCTTCTACTGATTGAGTGGAAGAATGAACAATGAGCCGATGAGGTGTTGAAATGGACAACTTGGGTATGAAATACAAAAGTAAAAGAATAAGCCAAGTAAAAACAGGTTCTTAACTTCTTCTCCTGTATAGAAGACTCAAAACAAGAAGACAAAGTTTCTTATACTCCCCAAAACACGGTATTTATTCTTCATTTTTTTGAATGGTAAAGTTGAACATTTGCAGGATTCTCCCATTCAAGTGACGTTGCATGCTTTTATTCCTGACATGTCAAGTCACTCCTCTGGTAAGTAAGGGGAGTTCCTCCTATATGTTTTCACACCACAAGTTAAGCACTGTTGTACTAAAGTATGTGAATCTTTACCCGCTCATATCAAATGAATTGATTTTAAGTGATCATCGTGGGTACTTATTGCTCCATATATTTTCTGTGTAGGGATTTCAAGCTTTGGTGTCGTGGAGAAATTGATGAAACTGTTACCTGCTCTTGTTGGTTGTTTTCAGGACTTCATTCCCTTGTTTCATACTACGGCCCAAGTAGACACTCAATCATATGATTGTATGCTACTTATACTTCAAAACATAGATCTTCTCGTCAGATTTTTTATTGAAGCCTCTGATAAGAAGAGTCAACAAGACTTGAGAAATGAACTTCCTAGTAGCCACAGTCGGGGTAGTAATTGGGCTCACAGCATTTCTCCGTCGGTTCTAAAGAAGCTTTGGGATGAGTTTCCTTTTAACACTGGTCATGGCCTCTTAGAGAAGGTATACTTTCCTATTCGAAACAAGCTGTTTCAATACTGACCGAAAGAAGATAATAGACGGAAAATAAATGTTAGTGGCTGAAAGCTAATTTTTAGAGAATCTTGCAACTAGAGAGTACACTTTTGGATCATTTAATGGTGGATTTGAAAGGCAACAAGGTAAGAAAATTTGAAGTAATATCACAACTTCACAAGTGATAATAACATTGAACTTTTTAGTTACGTACAGTCCTACACCCCCTCCACTTGTTCACTTATCTGTTTACTCTGATTTCTTGTGCTCTTTCCATTGCAGGGCAATGATCGTTATTTCATGTTGAATATTGTAATTACAGAAATATTTTTGAAGTTGAGTAATGTGAATCACCCACCCCCTGCATTGATGGAGAAATTTCTGGAGTTCATTGAAAGTTCATTTTGTGGAAAGGTTCAATTTTACTTTGATTATTCATGGTTAAGTTTATTTTTTACTAACTCATACTGGATATTGTTATTTACTTACATCAAAGAAATGGAGAGATATTAGATTATTAGCATATCATCTTCTGGCTTCACAAATAGAACATGGTCCATATATATGAAAGATTGGCTTCATATCTGTAGGTTCGTTTCAAGCATAATTGCATAACTATATCTTGAGTCTATGTATTCTGTGCCCGCTTAAAAGACAAAAGGCATTATATTCATGATATGAAAGTAGAATAAGGTACATATTATGCCTAAATGATGCCTTACGTTCTTTGTCTTGTTCAATGACATCTTATAAATGTCCTAAATAAGCTAGATAATGAACATGCAGGTAGTAACATTGTAGTTTGTATGGTACAAATAATAACTACGTGTCTTTGGTTTGCAGTTTTGCCACCGCAAGGAGTCTGGTAAAGTAATAATTCATGAAAAGCAATTGCTTGCGTTGGTGTCATTCATTCCAGAACTTGTTACACTTTTGTCTGGTGATTTTTGGAAGTATCGCATTCTTCAGGTTTCAAGACCAAAAACAATAACTTGTTCTTAAATCTCAATTTATCTGTTTTTGTAGAGTGAAAATGCTGTGACAGTCTATAGGGAAAGTTCAAGTCCTTGCTATGTATTGCACAGTGTTGCACTTCCCCTCATAAAATTAGTGTTTCTACTGCCAATCGCAGGCTTTCTCTGATACTTTCAAGATTTGCAGTCCAGAGTCCTCAATGAAATTAGCTTGCCTTTCTGCAATTGAAGAAATGATGTTCTCCGTAAGACTCATTTTGGTCTTTGTAGCATTCTTTAAAAAATTAAATAGCAACACATAACGATTGTGATATCAGATTTTGCAGAAACATGCTGGATAGCAGCAATGTGTTTTTTTTAGTTTCCTTTTTCTTGAAGGTTTGGAATAATGTAATCTATTTAGGAATCCTGAATTACATTAGTAAATTCACAGCTAATAATGTTTTTTTCCTTGAGATGAAACTAATTCCCATTTTCATGTACAAATTGAAGGACAAAGACGGTTACTTAGATACAAGTGATCCTAAAATGCTAGCTTATCAACTTTCTTGGATAAAGGAGCTCCCTTCGCTGCTTATTGTTTTAGGTGATAAACATCCATTAACTTCTAAGGTACACTTTTCATTCACTTTTCATTAAATAACTTTGAATGCTTGATTTTCTCTCATTAAACTTCCTTTAGCTTTGCCTTTTTTTATACATAAAAAAAAACTCCTTATAATTCTAATATGGCTTGCATTATCCAGACAGTGTTGCGTCTTCAACTTCGCATAGGACAAACCGCTCATTTAGATTCTACATTTGCAAAGGAATATGATGATATGCAGTATATACTAAGAAGTTTTTATAGCACAACCCTCGGTGAAGGTTAAGAAAGCTCCTGATTAAGATTCCTGCCCATGGTGTACTTAATCTTTTCTTCATTATTCATCATCATTTGCTTCCAACTAACACTATTTTTTGGCCTTAGGAGGTGTTGCATATGGTCCTTTCATGACACTATCAAAAGACATTCAAGAGCTTTCGCTTTGTTGCCTATATTACTTCTCTTCCCTGGACACGACGATTCTTAAGTCATTAGTTCTATGCTGCCTTTGTAAGTTGTCCCATATATATGTCTGTGTGCTTGTGCACAAACACAAACACACATGTTACAGTATTACATCTTTTATCATTTATTTGTTTCATTGTTTGCTTGATTTTCATCCATCATTTGCATTGGAGCCAAAGATTTATTATTTTTTGGCTTGTGAATATGATGGAATAAAGCAAAATGGCTCACCAAATTGTCTGCTCTTCTTTGTTATGAAGCAGCAGTCAGTCCATGCAATTTTGGACGCGATTTTCATTATGGGTCATCCGGAAACAGTCTCTCTGTGCTTTAGTCAGGGGTAAGACTGCGTACATCCGACCCCCCCTTACCCTACCGTAGGTGGGAGCCTTTGCGGCACTGGGGTAAATGATGAAATGGTGATGTATTGTTTTCTTGATTTTGTGATTCTCATATGTAGTTTACACACATGGAAGGTGTGACTAACTTCGAATGATGAGTTAAATATTGTCTAACATTGTGGTTTTCTTCACACATATTGCAGCTCATGATCTGGAACCATTTTTACTTCTTCGCATTTTAGAAATTCTCCACACAGCTTCTAAAGCTGGACGTATCCAGATTGCAGATTACATTAGTTTTTTAATCACGTTGGTTTCACATTTCCGTAGTTATCCTGGTAAAATTTGAAATGTTATCAAAATTTCTTATTAAATCTAGTAAATCAAATCAGTGACCAGGATATAATGATTAAATCTAGTAATTGGATCCTTTGCAGAGAAAATCAGTTCTTTAGAGGATGGAAAATCAATCCATGGAGCCTTTCAACCGGTTATAAGTGCAGTTTGCTCTTGTTTGTCACACATCGGTGATAACTGTCTTATTTTCCAGATGGTGGAGAAAGTAATAATTGATCAGATTGTAAGTTGATCAACTTACATTTTATGTGCACATGGAAATTTTTCATTATTATAAGTATATAAATATGTTTTTTATATCAGTTTTTAATGGATTAAATGACTGGATTCGAATTAGGACAGTAGCTTCGTATTATACCATTATTATTTTTTATATATTTAGATAGGTGTATTGTTTACAGTGACTTGTATAGTATTTTGCATGTAATTATTATTGGTTTATGGGTGATGGTTGACATTATTTAGAGTTATTCCCCCCTTCTTTTAGTTATCATTGATTTGTTTTATATGGTTGGTATCATTATACTTTGTTTATTAGAGGTGACATCTTGCAATTTGTTTCAGTATCTTAGCCCTCCGAAAGATAACATGAATGCTCTTCTAAGGATTCTTACCACAATAGATACAGTTCCAACAAGACTTTCGGGACATAGCATCGACAAGCTTTGCCATGTTCTTCCAAAGTATTTATTACTAGTTGCATCTGTAAGTACTCATCATTAATAATTACTTCTCTTTTCGTCTTTCATGGCCACACATAAAAAGATAGAATAACACTGTGTGGAGGGCATATACTGAAAGTTTTGTCAGTATGCTTCGTAGCATGAATTTGAAGTGTTTAATTTTATCTGGTGATACTATTGAAGCCTTTTTGGTAGGCAAAATAATCAGAATATTCAGATTAAGTACTATGTACTTTATTTGGCTGGGTCTTGCTAAACACATTGTTTTTAGTAGATTCAGCCATTTCAGCGATATAATCTTTACTGACCATGATCTAATTTTCGTGGTACTAATCTGGCTAAACTTAAGGCAGTGATGATGACAATCCCAGTTTTGTGGTGAAAGAATAATAGTATTCATTACATTTCTTTTCACTCTGAGATTTGTGTTATATAGGATCTTCCAGAAGAAGTTAACAAGCAGAATTCGATCTTGAGTTTGAAGAAAAGTCAGTATTACCTTCTTCCTTGCTTCTTTCTATTCCATAGAAGCAGTAGACTCTTAAGTGATGTTCTGAAAGGGCTGGGATCATTGTTGGCTGTAAATGGTTCTCCGACTTTGTCTCGACGAGATATTGAATTCGTTCCAGCAATAATTAACCACAAAAGCAGTCTTGTGTCAAGTTTGGTGTCTCTTCTCCTGCTTCTGCTTACCGATACTAGAATGAGGCGACTACTCTCTTCGTGCAAGGCTGAGATCAAGATCATCTCACAATGTCTAGCTACTCGTCTGGTATTGACTCAAATATCACCCTGAAACTACCCACCATTAATCTTTGTTTCATAAGTGCAAATGAGCTAATGATGTTAGCCTGTTCTTTTGTTTGCAGTCTCCAGATTCCAGTAACATGAGTCTAGAAGAAAGGCACGAAGTACAGAGAGCTTATGATAAGCTAAAAACCGTGACTGCTGTTCTTCTAGCTTAGCCATTCCAACCTAATCAGGATGTAATGTGTTCCTACACATAATATGTTTGCTTTTTTGAACTTTTTTAATTTATTATTCATAAATATAGTTAAAATTATTGAGAATCCAGATTGTAATATACAACGTTTTGCACTGGTGTATAATAGAGAGGAAAAAAGCATTTTTTTAAAAAATTCCTCGTTATGGCTTATGGGAACAAAATTGTGATGCAAGTGCAATATACGGTTTCAATATTTTTCTTTTAAAATTCTTATTTTGCATATAGAAAATGTCCAGTTCGCCATGCTTATTGTTGAAATAATACCTGATGCATGACCAAAATAAAGCTAGCACATAAAAATGTGATTTAATAACTATTACTAATTATAATTATGTTTAAATTTTACACTAGTTAACTATAATGTATTCACAGTCACTGTAGTTATATTTTTACCTACAAATTTCATTTTAATAATATCTTATGAAAAACCTCTAATCTACTCAATTCTTTTTTTTGAAGGTTAATGAGTGAATCTGCCCAATTCTGAAAATGACATGCTTATGTACTTCATGTCTTCATGTTTTCATGTAGTTTATTATGGAATAAAAATGGAAATGTGATTCCTTTGTTAAGGAGTAAGGACAAGTTAATAGTGTGTCACTAGTGGAAAATAGGGTTCAGAGAATTTACTACCATTCCGGTGGCAAGTTCAAGCACATTTTTAGATGCAAATTGAATGTTTTCTATACTTAAATGAGATGAATAGACTAAAATAGTCTTGAGTCGACTAACATTAATATACTAAAAATATGATATTGAAGTAAAAACATTAGATACATAAAGAGAAAGACAAAATCCTTCTCACAACTCCATGTATGTTCTCTTCCACCCTTTACTCCCACTCCTATTTGATCCCAATGATATTCGATCATTCTTGATCACTCTAATTTAGGGATGGTCTTAGTATGCCAGCCCTGATCGAACCGGAATCGAGTTTGAGATCGGGTTTCTAGTTCCAGTCAACTATTATCGTCCGTTGTGACTAGGCATTTGTGCGACAGAGTGTGTCACGATTGCTGAGAAAGGGAAGCTGTGCGGGAAAGGTGTTGAGAACACCAAGTTTGCTGGAGGAATGGACTCGTTGAATAGAGCTTCTATTCTCATTGCTAGGGAGGTTCGTAGTTATGTTCATATCTTCTACCTTGTTTATTTGTTAGAGAGATCCTTCCAAAAAGGTGTTAAATGTCTTTTGGCAGCTTACAAGAAAGAAGGTGGGGGATCCTTCCATTAGTCAACTCATTGGCAAATTATGTACATGTATCTAGAAAGCAGCCAAATACAGTGGTATGGAAAGAAGGATATCCCCATCCATCACCTTACGCAACACAATTAAATTTTGATCAAGGATAGAGAGAGAGAGAGAGGAAGAAAAAAGGAAGGAAGGAGAACTACCAAATAAGTCATCGAACTTACATAAAAAGTGCAAATCACCCCTTATATAGGAGACTCTGTCCGGACGTCACCATTTGGGACGGTTCCCGGTGTAATTTTTTGATGATTTTTTTGAGCATGATATTCATTAAGTCTAGTTTACTCATACCAAATTTCAGCTAAAAGTTCGATCGGGAAGTCGGTCAAATAATTTTCTAAAATATACTGCGTTGTTTAACTGCGCAATTATCTTCAAAAATTCATTGATTGTCTTCCCGATTGAAGTTTTAGCTGAAATTTAGTATGAGTAAACTAGATTTAATGAATAAGATGCTCAAAAAAATTCATAAAAAAATACACCAGGAACTGCCCCAAATGGCGACGGCCAGACAGAGCCTCTTATATAAGGGGTAATTTGCACTTTTTATGTAAGTTCGAGGGCTTATTTGGTAGTTCTCCCAATATAATAATGAGCTTGTAGCAATTTTAATCATTTCTTGTAATTCCAATGAAGGCTCCTTTATTAGTCGTGGGAGTTTGGTTTATCCCTATGCGCACAACACAAATGATACTCATTGTTTGTTTTAGTTGAATTTCAAAAAATCCTTAATTAATATGAATCATACCAAAAGCATGTTCTCTAGTAGTCACAATCGTGTGTTGGATCACCAATATCATTGGTTTGCCATTGTGTTGCGAAGCAACCTATTTCAATAATACACAACCACTTCAGTTTTTCGTGTGGTTAAGATCACAAACTTATGTTCAATAAATAAAAAAAATCAAATAAATGATATAATAATACACCTAATTAAAATAAATGATATAATAAAATATACATATTAGATTTTGGGAATATGATGTGCTAATACACAATATTAATTAAGAGATATCATTATCATTAATCATATGTTAAATTATACATTTAACATAGTGTGATTATACCCTATCTAATCCATTCCTTGTGAATAGCGCATTTTACAAATTTCGACATCTTAATTTGGCAAAGGGAAAGTATATCAAACATATATTGTCTATATTTTTAAAATCATAATTCAAACACTTTTTACACAATACAAGTAATGCACTTGTAAATAACAACTTAAATAATTACAACTATTTATTACTTGCCAAGAACAGATAAAAACTGTTAATTTAAAATAATAAAATGAGTAACAATAATAGTTAGAAAAGTACTCATTTTGGACGGCCCATGCCATTCTTTTAAATAATATGATAATAATACACATTTTCAACATGTCATGACACTTTTTTAATAATAATTGTGGATATTTAAATATCATTGGGTCTCTTTTAAATGCTACCACGCTATCTTCGGCCTCATTGAGACTCTTTTAAAGTTTATTGGGCGAATGTCAAATTCTACTTGACCGCTCATGATGGTTGTTGGGCCTTTCAAATGAATTTAGTTATATGAATCCCTTCTGATAAAATTTAATGATTAAATTAATTTGAATTATTTAAGATATTCAATTAATTTAATTATAAATTGAGTTTTTAAAATAGTGGACTGACTCCTATTAGATCCTCTATTTTAGAGCCCAATATCAAATAGTGACCTAAAATATATTTTAGGGGTCTGATACAACTTATAAATGAGGCAGCGAATTTGGTCAATGAATTCATCCATATGCATGAAAAATACCTATGAACGTTGTTAAAATGGTTGTCATGATATATTGCAAAAATCCTGAATTTTCGAACTATTAAAATGCAAGCAAATGAAGCACAAAGCTCATTTCAATTGGAACCCTAATGTATGTCTCAGCGCCTTCAGACCTATAAATATGATTTTCAATTGAGAGATGTGGAAGTTTGTTCAAATAAAAAAATTGAGAGAAGTGGAAGCAGAGAATTTCTAGATGAAGAAACGTTACTAAAAACTCTGAAGAGCTCTCAAGAGGCTCTAAAGAATTCTAAAGAAGAGGAAAAGATCAAGTCATGAATTATATTAAAAATATACGAATAATCCCTTGTGATTTCATCCATTCTTTATAAAATAAGTTCAAAAGTTGAAAAATGTTCGGAGATATGAAAAACAAAGATTGAAGATTCAAAGATTTGTAGGACAACGCTTTGAAGATTCGAAGATTTGAAGAACGAATCTTTGAAGATTTGAAGATATTCATATGAATATTTAATCAAGATTCAATTGAAGATCAATTCATATATCATGGGAAGAATGTCCGAATATTTGAAGAATCAAATGATTGAACTCGATATTCTCATAAATTTTGATTTGCGACCAATTTTAAGTAAATACTTAAGATTTGTTTCACAATAATTATAATTATAATGGTGGTGGTGGTGGTGATAACCATTGTAGGGAGTTCATATTGGCCCAACTCAATAATTAACTAATTATTTAAACCCGTCAAAATCTAAAAATGCCATATATAAACTTGCATTTCTATTTCGACATTTCATTTCTCTACACATCACATTTAGGATGTTTTCTTTTGGACTGTTTTCAGTCCCAGACCAGACCAGACCAGACTTGACTTTCGTAGTTATAAAATACACAGAGACCAGACGTTTACCAGACCAGACCAGATCAGATCAGAGATCAGACCAGACCAGATCAGATAAGATCAGACCAGACCAGCAAATTTCAGTCCAAAAGAAAACATCCTACTGTCCACTAACTTTCATCGCTCTTCATCTGATTTCTCATGAACCATATTTACCGTCCATCATCGACTATAGTGCATAGGCCCCGAATCCAACTATACATTTGGTTAAATCGTGAGATTGTTAGTAAGCATATCTATGTCATTCATTAAGTGGTTTAAATTTGACTTGGTAAAACAAAATAACACACAGTCAAGTGAAAACTATCAAATAAGTATTCGTACTATATGCAATAAGTCGATTGAGTCTTTATACTATCAAATCATTCAATTAAACCCTCAAACTATACAAATCACCCAATCTTGCATTTCAGCCGGTTGACTAGCGGTGATGCTGGTAATAGTTGATGTGGCTGGCCATGTGGCATTATCTACTTTGCCATTCGGTCAATTTTATTTCATTTTTCATTCTCTCCTCTTTCCTTCGTCCAATTGCCCCTCTTCCCACATCTTTGTTCTTCTCCTATGTCCAACTGCATTATCGTATGTTTTTCTTTTTCATAATTCTGGTACTGAACAAAACATTCACCGCTAATTCCATTTACCGAAATATAGAACTAATATTTTGCGTAAATTTAAGAGATAAGAGAAGAATCTGAATCCCTAAATGGTTTGCAAAAAAAAATATGTGAGAGCTATCCAGTTTGAAGATAAGGGGTGGGTCTACGGGAGGAATTGAAGGAGTTGATTGACTGTAGGTGGGCACTTGAGCCTGAGGATTGAAACAATTGGGTATACACAGTGTTTTAAATAGTGGTCCGCTACCGCTACCGCTACAGGCCGCTATCAGGGTGTCATTTTCAAATCACAAAAAAAACCCGTTACGCCGCCCGCTACAGCCCGTTACAGGCACTTCCGGCAGTACATCACGAACTGGTTGATATGTAAATGTGTAAATGTTATGTGCATGATGTGAAAAAATACATTAATGGTGATGCATGGAATGAAACTCTAAATTAAATGTACATGTATTCACATACATTATGGTAGCAAATACTATGTATTGATATTTGATAGATATTTAAATTTTAATTATTAAAACCGAATTAATTATTAATAAGGATGATTTAACTTTAATATCGGTTGATGAAAAAATATTGACTTAACAAAACAATTTGGAACGGGATTGGTATTATTATGGATTATGCAAGTTGCAATGCATGGTCCACTTCTTAAAATTTAATTGTGAAAGAACAACAAATTTTCATATAAGTAATATATTTTCAGAAAAGAGTATATCTTTTTATTGAAAATATTTCCCACTGCTGCAACCGCCAGGGTTTTAAATAGCGGCCCGCTACCGCTATAGCGGTCGCGGTAGGGGCCGCTACCGCTACGGCTCGCTATTCCGCTGTGAATTCCAAATCACGGGAAAAAACCGCTACGCAGCCCGCTACAGCCCGCTATTGACATTTCCGGCAGTACGTCATGAATGGGTTGATGTGTAAATGTGTCTATGTTGTGTAAATGAACTCTTAATGTTATAAGTGTTCAAACAAATATTCACAATGTTTGTATTAACTTCAACACTCATTAAATATATGTTTTGCGCAATTGAAAATATTTCACGCCGCTGCAATCGCCACAGTCGGCTACAGGCCGCTACAGGCCGCTACAGGCCGCTACCCGCGATGACCGCTGCAGCTACGGCTATTTAAAACCTTGGCAACCGCTACAGGCGGCCGCTACCGAAATGGTCGATACCGCTGCGCTACGGCTATTTAAAACACGGGGTATACATATATGTATACACGCACATATTTGGATAGATACGGAAGGTCTGGCTAGATATGGATGGCACATAATAAAACGAATTTTAGAAAAGAACATGACCTGGAGAACGAGAATGTGAGAGCAAGAACTGATCTCGAGAAAGAGAATGGGAGAGAAAGAAGAAAATAGACTTGCGGCCATAGCCGGAGTTGCAGTTCGTGTCCGGCGTGACGGCGTCGGTGGTGTGCTCGTGACCGGCGTCGAGGGTGTCTTGGTGGCCGGCAATTTTCGGCCAGACAGAGAATGTGATGCCAAGTTAGGGCTGCACAAGAATAACCCGAACCCGCATAACCCGCCCGATCCAACCCTACCCGACCCTATTTAATCGGGCATTTGATTTTTAAAAATATTCATGGGTTAAATATGTTTGAACCCGCACCTAATGGGTAGGGTTGCGGAATTAAAATCTCAAACCCGATAGTACCCGACCCGGCCGAAGTTCATTTTACTATTATTATGCTGCAATATTTCTTGGATAATTTCAATTTAAGACCAATGTGCTCTATCTAGGACTTTATGATATTAGAATTACAATTAAACATTTATCATTTTGACTAGGTGATTATTATATATTTACGTTTCCTTCTAAATGAACTTCCTTTACGGAAAGATGTTTTAATATTATTACCTAATGTTTTTGCTTTTAAAAGATATGGGTATTTGTATTTGTTTGTGTGTTTTGGAAACAAGTTAATCGAGTTTTAAATTTGTTACATTAATTTCCCACATGAAAGATGCAACCCAAAGTGATTTTTTCCCCCAATTACCCGACCCGTTAATGCATGGTTTACCAACTTATTTTGCGTACCGCGGGTTAGTTAATAGCCAACCCGAACAAATCGGGTAGACTCAAAAAATATAGCAAACCCGACCCAACCCGCCCGATGTGCTGCCCTACGTGAAGTAGCTGAGCAGATCGACTGGAATGATTCCAGCGTAGAATAAAGGAAAAGCAAAAGAAAAATAAAAAAAATAGGAAAGTAAAACGAAAATTAACTCCCACGTAGGCCGCCACATGTGCAGTCACCCGGGAAACCGGCTGATCACCTGCAAAATTGCACAATTGAATGTTTTTTAAGAGTTTGAGGATTTAGGATGTTTTTACTTGGATTGTAATTTGCTGGTCTGGTCTGGTCTGGTTTCTTTGTATTTTTATAACTAGTCAAGTCTAGTATGGTCTGGTCTGCACTGGTTTGGTCTGATCTGGTCTGGTCTGGGACAAATTACAGTCCAAGTAAAAACATCTTTAATTGTGTGTTTTCGAAGTACGAGTGTATAATTGACATTTTTGAAATAGTATAGGAAATTCGGTATGAATTTAAACCCAAAATCAGGGCGAGGCCGAGTCTCGACTGAAACTCTGAAAGCTTGGAACGACCGAACAGCCAGCCACCGGCGCCAGCTCGCCCCGGCTCCGCCACCACCGTTTCCCGCCTCCAAGCCCGCACGTCTATCGGCCGTCGTCCACTCATCCCCAGTTCCGCACTCGGCACTACTTGTACGCTACTACCGCCATCCGCTGATAAGCAACTAAGCACAATCGCACATGAATCTCAGAATTTGTTTATCTATGGTATTCAGATTTTTGTAATTGCAATTTGCAAATTACAGAACATTTAAAATTAATTTGTTATATTGTTGCTATTTGTTTATTTAATTCAGTTATTAAGTAATTGAATTGATAGGAGTGATTTGCAATTTATCGCCGACTTAGAAGTTATGCCTAGGGTTTTGTCCGGCGGTGAGCTTTCTTGGCTAGCCACCGCGTCTTTTATTTGTTGGAGGTGCTTTGTCCGGCGGCGAGCTTTCTTGGCTTGCCATCGCGTCTTTTAATTGTTGAATGTGCTTTTCGTTTGGAGTATTGACGGACAACAAGGTGAAGGCTTCGGTCTTGCTTCGAATTGGGTGTGTTGCTTGAAGACTTCTGCGACATCGGTATAAGCCTGCTTTGTCGGCGGATATGGAGGTGGAAACGAGTTTTGGATTTTCGTTTGAGTTTTCTCTTTTCGGTCTGGGAAGCTTTGTGGACAAATACAAGATGATGGCAACTGGCGCAGAAAAAGAAAAACTGGATCTGAATAAAGTTGATGTTGAAGTTGTGGCGGATGAACGGCAGGCGCGTCCCCCTCCTGAACCGCCGCCGTGGAGTGCAAGCAAATCTAGGGTTTGGAAGAAGATGAGTGTTTTCTATTTTAATTCTGTTTTTATTCAGTTTGTGTTTTTCTGTCGAATTGTGTGTTGTTTGGTCCTGTTTTGGTATTTGATTTTTCGTTTATTTCCAGTTTGTAAGACTTTGATTTTGGATATGGGGATGAGAGGGATATGGTAACCGTTTATGGCTTTTTGTTTCTCGGTTATGGATCAGCGAATTTTATTGCTACGGCGATTAATTGCGAGTCTGGTTTGAGGGATAACGGTTATCAGCTTTCTTTTTGTCAGTTGACCCATACTCTCAATTATTGGTTATTAATCTAAGTCGAATTCAGTATAAAAAAAAAGTAATTGAATTGATAATAATTGTGTAACAACTACTACGTCCCACTATATTTGGGACAATTCGGTTTACGATGCTTGACTGACGATAAAGTAAACAGATCCTTGTTCGCACTCAAGTTATTTTTAGGAAAAAATTACATATTCAGAAACTACATTAAAACTTTACAAAGTCGCAAAAACCAGAATCAAATTTGATAAAAATTTGATATATAAAGTAAGATATTAAGAGCTCGTTTGGTAGCACGAAAATCGGTTGTTTTGGCTGATTCTCGTGAAATTTATGAAGTTCTGGCTGAAGTGGCTACATCGGCTGATTCTGCTGATTTAAGAAAAAAATTATTTTTAAAATATGTTTTATTAATAATATAAAGAAAAAACTATATGTAAAAAAAGCTAAAATAGTCAGCCAATACAGTCAGAAGAGTAACTCCAACCTTACTTTTTCTGCTTATTACACAATTCAGCTCATGAAAGCAAAAGTTACATGTTTGATGAAAAAGTTGGCTGATAAGCCGAAAAACAGTATTGACCAAGTAAATAGTGTCTGAGACAATTTGAACGGAACATCATTTCACCCAAATTTTGTTGTTGCACACTTGCACCGGGTCTCCATTCTGAGGAAAGCCGTGCGCCTAGTTGTCGACACAGAGAGGCAGCGACAGTTGGCCGTCTGCCTCTTTTCACCCTTCCCTTCAGTCTTCTGGTGCTCGGTGGCCCTCTTGCAAGTCTGCCCAGCCCCTTTGGCCCTTTACTCCCTTCTCATTTTCTGGTACTCGGCAGTCCACATCTTATCATTTATTTTCTTTTTTAATTCTCTCAGTCTTTCATTTATTATTTGAATCGTTTAATTGATTTGATTATAGTAGTTCATTATAATCATTAGTCTTTCATATAACAATTTGTTATATGACACTTCAGCCCAACTTAATTTGGAAATCAATGTCTAAAAATCATTATAATTGTATATATTTAGAAGCTAGCATTATCTTTTTCTTTTTATGAAAGACTTGTTGCACCATATCGACCTTGCATGGTGTGTTTGTAAATGCCTATGATCGAAATCATATCTTTCATTTCAACTATTCTACAAAATCAAACTTTCATTTTTTCATACCTCTTGTGTGAAACACTATTTTGATCCTTTTAGTCTGTGTAATTGTTTGGAACCCTATAGATTGTGAGCCGTTTGGCAATACTGTTTTTCAGTTTATCAACCAACTTTTTCACCAAACACGTAGCATTTGCTTTCGCGCGCTGAATTGTGTAATAAGCAGAAAATGTAAGGTTGAAGTTATTTTTCTAGTTGTATTGGCTGAAGTTACATTTGAGCTTCAAAACCCAGACCTGCTTACTACATAGTACACATTCTATGAAAGAAAACACTGCCATTTGATGCGTAGTGATGAACTGAAATGAGGCATTAAGCATTCTTATTTACAGAAGAAAACCCCTACCATATTAGGGGCCGTTTGGTAACACCCAAATCGGCTGTATCGACTAATTCTGCTAAAATTTATGTAGTTTGGTTGAAGTGGATGTATTGGCTGATTTTGCGGATTTGTGAAGAAGAAGAAATTTAAAATATTTTATTAATAAAACAGTGAAAAATTATATGAAAAATAACTAAAATGGTCATTTACAGTAACTTTAACAAAAAATAACCAGAAAAATAACTCCAACTTTACTTTTTCTTATTCTTGCACAATTTATCGCGCGAAATCAAAAGTTACGATAAAAAAATTGGCTCATAAACTTGAAAAGTCAAAAATTTACCAGCTCTTATTGTACAACGTGTAATTGTAAACAAGTTAGATCTACAATTTATTGGAAGATGAAAAGTTCTATTTACTGCCACACAATTAGTAATCACAATCACACAATTAAAATTTAATAAATAAATCTTTTTTAAATATACCAAATATTTAAGGTTTAAATATGCTTTTAGGCTCCGCAAATGTAGGACACTTTGTTTTAGATCCCTGCAAAATATTTTCTTTGTTTTTCATCCCTGAAATTTACATTGATTTTCTTTTTAGTCCATGACTAATGATAACAACCTCCACTTACAATGAAACAATCCCGACTAATAGATATCCTTTAATTCTTTGTCATGTCATTCAAAAAGTATTTAATTTCATTTTTTGAGGGTTTTTAATACATATTTTAAAAATGCGAACAATAAGTTTTAATATTGTTTTAACTCTCTTATTAGCCTCAAAAAATTATAAACTGATAAATTTAAATGTTTCTAGTAGAATTATGGAACAGACAATAGAAAAAATTCCAAGTCAAGTTGTTCCGGAGTTAGAGATGGACTAAAACCTAAATAGCGCATATTACAGGGATGAAAAACAAAGATAATATCTTAAAGAGACCTAAAACAAAGTGTGCCATTTTCGCAGGGACTAAAATCATATTTAAACCTAAATAGCAAATATAGCATCGGACAACCCTAAATAGCCCGGCACCCTAGCGCCGCGCGCAGTCGGATCCAGCTGCTCAGCGAGAAAAACATCAGAGCTTTTACCAAACCTATGAAGCACGGATACTTCCCTAGGGTAGCGTAGCGGCGTATCGGATATGTTCCCGTATCCGATACTCTAGGATACCCGTACCGTACGTTCCCGGGCCGTATCTGCAATTTTTAAAAGTTTCTTTTTTTTTGTAATTTTTTGAAAGTTTCCGATACTCGTATCCTGACGGATACCCGTATCAACCATTTTAAAAAAAAAATCCCAAAATTTACTTAATAAAATTATAAAAAAAATGAAAATCTAAAACTACATTTTACTTGATAATCAAATAAGGGCCTATATGGCTATATCCGAATTAAGTCATTAACTCATACTCCGAAGTGGGTACTTGCACTTTTAATTTCAAGATTGTAGTTGTTTGACTTATTTCTCATTTTAAATTAATGACTCATTGACTACATTTATATTTCGAGATACACTAGTGTATATGAGAAATATTATGAATTTATTACTAAGTATCTTGAAAAAGGAAAATGCTTCAATGCAATGAATGGGTAGACATCATAGGATATTATATGTGTGTGTGTGTGTGTGTGTGTATATTCAAAAAAAATTAATATTTATAAGTAGACCCCTATAACTTTTAATATTTGTAAATACACCCCCATAACTTTTAATGTTTATAAATATGGTCCCGTATCCGTATCCTCTTTTTTTGGTTTTGACGTATCCCCGTACCTGTTTCCGCGTTTCCGCGTACCGGTATCGGTGCTACATAGTACCCAACCCATCAATTAATTTGTTTTATGTTAGCCCAAGCTAACCCCACCCGAACCATCCATTTTGGGTCATTGTGGCCTAACCCATCAATTATTATTAGTACTTTATTTTTGGACAAAATCCCCAAATCAGCTGGCGGGAAGAATGTTTTTGCCTCCAATTGAATGGGCCTTTTACGTTTTGCTCATACCTGTGCAGAAGAAAGGGAACCACAGTATGATCTGTCTTTACTCTGAAGCAACAAAGAAAGAATATGGGGAGTGAATTGTTTTGAAGAATGCAATCTAAAATAAACGCTTTTTTCAAGCCCTGCATTTCTAAGACCGTCGCCGCCTCTTCAATCTCCTGCGATTTGTTCGATTGCGAGGCTGCACAATTGGAACGCCCAGATATCACCAATACATACAAGCGTAGAAGTTTCAAGCCTGGGTACGTTCACTGTATTTGTTATTTTCCCGTATGAGCTATTGAATTCCCCGGCTTTTCCTGCCATTCTGTTAATCGCAGCACTTCAAGTCTTCAAAGATTTTGTTTTGTGTGTGTGTGATTTCAATTTGCCCTTTATTTTCCCGTTTGTAATAATGGTGGGGCTGTGCTTGCTGTTGGTTTGTTAACGTGAGTATAATTTTGTTCTTGTTTTATAAGTGATGGGCTAATTTATTTTATATGGTTGTATAATTTCTTCATTTCCTTTCCAATTTCAAGTTTACTACATTAGTCTGCTCATAACAGGGAATGTCTCCCATAGTCACAACCTTATGTGCTTTTTGGTCAGTTTTTGTCCTTTATTTCAATTCAAGTACCATGTCATTTTGTATTTGTTTAGTCTTCTTGAAAACTTATTTCTTTATAAAGCATATATGCTCGAATTGTGCTGATAATAATCATTCACTCTTTTCTTGACTGTTCGGCTGTATGAATACTTAATATTTGGTGATAGCAGGGATGGGTCAAATGGTGAACCACCCCAGGAAATTGCGTCAAGGAGTTCAACTGTGAAATTGGTTCCGCCTCAAAATTTGAATAAGAAAAGAAACTATGCTCAATTTCATTTGGAATTGGGTCAGTCTGATTTCGTGTTGCACACTTGCAATGTATGCGGCTTTGATTATGCCACTGGTGAAGAAGCAGATGAGAAGGTTCACCAGAAAATTCACAGGAATTACACTCGAGGGATCCCATTCAAGGTTGTGTGTTCAGAATTGTTTTTTATATTCAAAGTAATTATTTTTATGTGTGAACACCATGCCTATATTCACTGTTAATATTTACTTTGCAGGGCTGGCAAAATGAAAGAATTATTCCGACTTCTTCTGAAACTGGACGCATTATCTTGGTGTTGAATGATGACCCTTCTCCATGGAGAAATAAGGTCAACTTCATGTTTTTTACTTCACCTATTATGGTGTAAATCTTTGTTTCCACAACAAACGCTAGTTTTCAGTAGTTTATTGGCAAAACGGTTAACTTTAGTTGTTACAACATATTTGTCAGGTTCTGGAAGTTGTTAAAATGATGGAGATAGAACTTGGAGATGGGTGGATATACCATCAACAGTGCAAGGTAAAAAAACAACAACTCATTTAGTAGTTATTGTTGCTATAAGAATGAAGCTTTGTTCTCAATACTCAGATTGTGTGTACTCATCTTGTCAATTCCACTCCAGAAATTACATCATGTTTTGTAATTTGCTCTTCCATGACCTGAACACTTGAACATAGTTTTCTGAACTGAGC